ACTGTAGTAGCTCATTTAAAAGTTTTCCAAATATTTATTAAGTATTATCACTGTTTAAAATATTACTGGTCATGAGTTTCTCTTACAAGAATTAATTATTTTCTAAATTATATTCGGTAAAGTATACTAAACTCAGAAGTTATATGAAACAAGATCGATCAGGATTAATGATGTTAATATTTGTTGAACAGGTATTGATAGCTGAACTAGATCCAGAAGACATAATTTAAAAGTAGTTTAAACAACTTAAAAATACTCAACGTCGTGATCGCCTTGAACTTTAATTATTATCCCCAACATTATATGTAACACAATTTGTTTATGTTTATATTTATTATTTTCTTTATATCTCTTATGTATTTTAATCAGTTGTTTTAAGCATAATTAATGTACTTACATACATTTAATATACATAATAAAATGGGAAAACAAATAAACAATAAACGTCTTTATGTTCGTATTATTATTAGATGCCGTTAATATACGATTGGTCTGTTTCTCAGTTTATACTACAAAAACAACTTATTTGGTGCCTGGATGGGTTAGAATTATAATCATTTTGATTGCACTACCTGCGAAAAAGGTTTGGATACGCACACGGTAAAATGCCAGTTTTTCGATTTTTATATAAAACTTGTTAACATTCTTGTTATCAAAAGTATTTTCCCGAAGGTCCGAATAAAAAAAACCAATTTGTAAATAGTGACATAATAATGATAATGAAGTCATGGTAAAAATTGTTTTTTTTTTTTAGTCAAACTCGGACAAAGTCCGTTTTTTATTTCAAAATGGAAATGTTTAACAAAATACTTTAACTACTGAAAAAAAGGCTATTTAATTTATTAAAAAAAAATAATATTGTGCCCTTAACCTATAAATTGTTTTTCAGATAGGCCCTTCTTGAAACATATCAGATCACGATATAATAATATAAATATTGAACAATAATACCGAAAACACTTTTATATAATGTTTAAAAAATCGGTTCTCTGCGCGATATTTAATAAAACTGCGGGTCGTATAATATCCGTATCAATCAAAACAAAATAATATAATGCAAATTTCGGATTTTGGGTGCCTATAATAAATAATTTATGCATACAGAACATAATATTTTATTCTTTAATCGAATTCATCGATTTATTTTTGAAAGCGTTATAGCTAAGGATAAAGTTATAAGAAACATCGGGACCGCCGACCAATGTTTATCGTTTTCAACCGATATATAGGGTTTATGTGGCTGTATTCCTTCGATTTTTTGCATTAAATACTAACTCTATATATATTTACTACACATTATAGTGTCCCGCATTTAATGGGGCTGGGGGAAAAAACTATATTATACGACAGTAATAATTACAATATCTGACTGTTAAATATCGTTTGTTTTATGTGAATAAACGATATATAATATATAAATATACATATATTATATATATTTATATATACATAAATGTCAAATACTATGCATTGACTCATCGTGTGTATCTATTAAAAATAACAGAGTCTAGAAACTTGACATTTTGCACAGAAATTCCTTATATTATTTATTTATTTATAGGAAAATATACGGGATTGACCCAATTCAGATACATTTAGTAAATTAATAAATTAATTGATTGAAAATAACCATTCAAAAAACAATAAGCATATTAACACGCAAAAGTACATTAAAACTATAATAAAAAAAAAATAATAATAATAATATCAAACAAAGAATGATGGATATTCGTTGGCCAGTTGTATCATTCTAAACAACGGATTATTTTTTAAACAATGAGTAAGCAAATAGGAATAGAAAATAACAGAGATTAATAGATATAAAGACTAAGATGTAGATTGTAGATGTACAATAAAAAGAGCTTTTTGAAAATTTGAGCTCACGCAGAAAATTTGTTCTTAAAATACATAAATTGCACTTCACCTCAAAAAACCTCAATTGAACCCCTCTCTTCAAATAAAATCCTTATCAAGTAAATACCAGGTATACCATGACCATTTTTTTAAGCTATTTTTGTCTATTTATCATATGCATTATCACATATCGGTATCATCAATATTGTGAAAATCATAGAACAATGTCCATGATAATTAGAATATTGTGTAAACTGAAACTAATTAAATCTATATCAACTCCAAAGTGGTTCAGTTTTCATCAACGTGTAACGTATATTGTAGGTATTAGCATAATAGACCACCTATACCACTATAAAATACGTAGGTAGGTACTTACGGCATGACCAATAATTAAGTAAAATAAATTGAAAGGCGTACGGTTACACGTTTACCAAACAAATGCCTTGTAGTAATTATAGAAGACGTATTTTTTTATATAAATAAACAAATACCGTGGTTTTCGTTCTGAATGAGAATGTGCACGAAATGAAGACAGAGCGTGGAGTGCACTCATATTGATCTGTATAGCAAGTAAAATGATAAGTGTATAATGTATATGGATATTTTTAACATTTTAAAACTAATAATACCTATTCAGTAGCATATATTCACCAGAGTATACTTATCCATTTTAAAATAATATAATATTAATAATCGTAATTAATTAATAATATAACAATAATAGTATATTACATTCAAAAAGTTAATAGACCATAATTTTATCTATAATGTTTTCTGTGTCAGGTAAGTAATTATTTTCGATACTAAAAAGAAGTTGAGTATTTTACAATGATGTATATTTCTGATAGTACCTATTACGCTCGATACGCGAGTGACTGCACGCACATCTTATCTTTTTTAATATTATACAAATATGCAATTACGCAATCCAACATAACAATGCTATGACAGACGTCCGCGTCAGAACACCGATAAAGTAATGGATAATGTACCCGCTATATTGTGGTTTGTTTTTAGGTTTATAACTTTTAAGAAAAACTATACAGCTAAAGAATCAAAAAAATATCACCTATCTAAATAACAACTGCATCTTTTTAGACACCTATGATATGAATATTTCAGAGTATTTTTACTAAATGAAAAAGTGTTTTCCGAGAAAAAACACATCTTAGTAAAATGAATAGATTATAAATAGGTAGGTACTTCGCTTAACTCAGAAATATCGCAATATACCAATATTCAATAATACTCGAAAATTTGATACCTAAAATGTTTATCGTTAATATCATTATACCACTATTATAACCACTATACTATTTAAAATCCGTAGCACAATTTGTTTTTAATAAGAGTTTATTAAGTTAATTAAGGGACATGCAAATCCGATATTATTCCTACGGCCTTAAATGTTGCAATCAATTGCATCGAAAAGCCTAGAATATAGAAGTATATAAGTGTTCCCTTACAGTATAATTATAATTACCTGAACTTTTTTCTGTATTACATGTATTAATTTAATGGTTGGTTTACTTTCTTTACATTAAAAATAATAAAACTCACCGAAATACATAAATGTTTAAAACGTTTGGGTGTGATATTTTGAAATAAACATTTTCCTTTATCTTTTGAAAGACTTGCTTAGCTAGTTAGCTAGTTAGCTTAGTTATTAAATTGGGCCAGTACACCAATGATAATAACAATGTTATATATTGCGATATAAAACAATATAATATAACGATATATATAAAACGATATATAAAACAAATGTTATAAAAATAAAAAGTGAAAATAGTATAAAATGTTATTTTATTGACCATCAGACACTATTGTGTTGTAACCAACATAATACATACCTTTCCAACTATTTTTTTCAGATTTGATACTTTTCCCATTCTCATGCTGTTTAGATAAATTCAATTATAAATTAGTTCTAGTGCCGTACTTAAACTTGCATGTTTGAGGAAGAGGCTATTAAACTTACAAATTAGGTGACAGATTTTTAATTCACAAAACACCAATCACGTATTTACTGCAATTATCATATGAGGGATGATAGTACCCCAACTACCTAGTAAATATATAAATAAGCCATTTAATTGGGTGGATTATTAATTAGATGTTGAGCACGATTGGTCCAAATCACCTAATCCGGCACTACTTGATTCCATCTGATTTTAATCAAATCAACTATATAATATACCTTTAAATGTTGGTTAAATGTATCCCTTTCGAACGTACGTAAATATTATACGCCACAAATTTCCCTCGAGTAGATATTACATTCGCACTTTTTATTGATAGTCATAATATTATAACAATCATATTTTAGAGGTGTGGATTGATTAGACACCACGGTTTAATGGGAACATTTAGTGTGTTTAGTAAATACCTATGGCCTCTGTTGAAATGAAAGTTAAAACTTTTAAGCACAGTTAAGTTTCTACGTTAAGACCCGCGAAATCGTTTTTTTTTTTATTATTGGCGTAGCAATAAATCGGTTAGCAGTCGCATAATTTATATTATAGAAGGTGAGCCAATATAATCGCGTATAACAAAAATCACTAGTATCCAACAGCCAAAAACAACATATGTTTATTCACTCAATATTATTATTAATTAATAAATAAACTAGACGTCTATATCAGAGAAAAAACAATACATATTTTTTTAAAACAAATTAACGAACGCATGTTAAATTCAAACGTTATCTAAATATATGAATTTATCTATCAACGTGTTGAACCCAACAATTATTCCTATATGACTAGCTTGACTCGTGTTTGATTCATTATGTACATGAATAATAATAGTAATAATAATAATAAATAAACAATTAATATTTAAAAACTAGACGACCATTTCAAGTTAGACGCTAACCAACTGTTTAGCAAAAAAAAAAAAAACACGCAAAGTATATTATATTAGGTAGGTACCAGAGTATAGGTTAATCCATTTTACTCAACGTCGAACTAAAGTTTCTTAGTATGTTCGTATAATCACCTACCTTGTGTGATAATGTTTAAATTTTCTTAATGAATAATTTTTATAACGATTAAATAGGTAGACTTTAACCTAACTTAATTAATAATAAGCAAAATAAATTAATCTTAAATAATATTTTTGTGTATATTCCTAGCATGCATTTTTACATATACACAGATGTTCAACAATCTATTATAATATAGGTAGATACAGTGTTTTGTTCATAAAATAACCATGAATCAATATTCAATATTATTTTCCATAATATATTCCATAATATTCCATATAATTATACAAGTAAAATGTGTATCGGGAGGATTTGACAATTTAACATTGAAAAAATGGTACTTAATTTCCCGTGGACGTGGATTTTCTATACATTTTTTTGCTTTTTCTGCTTTTTTTTGAACATCCGTGTATACATATAAATATCATCAATTATAAATTAATTCAATAAAACATTTTAGATATAATGTGTACATTCGTAATATAAATATTATTATAATATGTCATAATAAAAGCTAGATGACTTAAAACATAAGACTAGATAATCGTATTATTGTACATATTAATACTAAAAAACAATAAAGCTACAGAATACAGGTAAAATTGTAATGTTTAAGTTGTTAATTGGTTAATGTATTCACACGTAAGACATTTATATATAAATATATGTATATAGATATATATTATATTTATTAAATAAATATAATAAGTAATATATTATATAAATATTTATGCACTGGTTCAAATAATAAATAATCTAACAATATAATAATTTATTGTAATGTTCTTTCAATTTATTAACGGATTTAAAGATGATAATGTATTATTTGGTAATAAAATCATCGGGTAATTATTTACTTCAGATGTAAACTCCTTTAAAAATGACGTGGCTAATTTAAGAGAATTAATATCCGGCCAATTCAGCGAATGTGGAATCCATTTCGTCGGCCAAAGACTTGTATCTGTCTTTGTTAAGGCCGAGTTCATCTGAAAAATAATAAATTCTCATTATTCGTCATTTGTATAATTTGAAAAGTAAAAGTATTTTGAATGCATAGGTAAAGTATGCAAATTGAAAAATCAAGTTTGACCACAAACATTACAATCATTTTTAAAACGTGTATTTTAGATGCAATCATAACTGTATAGTTAATACCCGATTTCTTTAATTTTTAAAGATATTATAATACGTATATTCATTTGTTAAATAAAAAAAAAAACATTGAAGAATAGGATAAAGTACAAAATATTAATTTTCATTAGTTACTTCCACATTTTTTTTTTAAATTGTAATTATTTAGAAATTTCTAGAGAACACATATTCAAATTTAACTTAGTATTATATCTGACTACATTAATAATAAAAATCAAAATATATTGAAGTCATCAGTAAAAATAAATTATGCAAGATAAGAAATCTTTATTTTATATCATACGTCAATGTTTTTTTTTTTTAAATTCTAAACTATATTGTTGTACCTGGCAGTAATAGAAGCGAATTTGTACAGCAACAACTGGAGACAAAACATATTAAAATGACAAATAAAAGCAAATTAAATGAAAAAAAAAATTAAAATTAAAAAAAGCATTATTTTTACAAAAAGCTACATTGGTTTATGACAAAACTCGAACATAAAAACAAGAAGAAAACAAATGAAGGCTATGCAGAATAATTTGTATTTGGTTAGTAGCCAGTGAGTTCAGCAAATGTCGAATCCAAGTCATCCGTGATTTCTTTGGATTTTTCTTTCTCTTTGAAGAGATCATCTGAAAAACAACACATTATTGTACAAACAAACATAAACAACCCATTGATAAAAAAAGCCCCGATTGTCAAAATGTTAAACAATTAGATAAAGAAAAAAAACCAATAATTACAACAAAGCATAAATAAATAGCTGCACATATTTACTAAACATTGAGCTAAATTAAAAAATGTATTAATAATGTCAATATTGTTTTGAATAACATTATCTCTTTTAAAAATTAAGCCGTAGAACTTACCTTCAAGTCTGTCAACTTCCTTCTGCAATTTCTTGACAGTTTTCTCGGCAAATTCAGCACGAGCTTCAGCCTATGATAAAAATTGAAATTTACACCATAAAACATAAAAATATGCACTTTGATTTTTTTTTTCATTAAAATACTTTATAAAAAAATTAAATGCTTACCTCCTTTAATTTTACAGTGAGTTGTTTGATCTGATGCTTGTACTCTTCCACTCGGTGATTAGCCTAGAAATACAGTTATTGAATTTAGCCCTATTTTATTATTACTTTCTAACTAATTACCTTTTCTTCAGAAACCTCCAATGATTTCAAACTGTTTCCTACAACTTTCAATTCTTCTTCCAATTCCATGATTTTCCTAAAGATTTAAATTTAATTAATATTGCATTCTGCATAATTATAGTTAATAAAACTTCACTTACGAGTCGCCAGATTTTACTCGATCCTCTGCCACTTCAAGTTCGTCTTCAACAAAAGCTAGTTTCCTCGAAACCTTGAATATTTTATTTTTTTAAATCTAATATTTCGTAGGTAATTAGATTATCATTTACTTACTTCATCAGATTTTCCATCAGCGTCTTCAGCTAAGAGACGAGCTTCCTTTAATTGGTTAGTCAATTGGTCCATACGTTCCTCATCTTGCTGGCTACGGTTTTCGAGTACTTTACACATACTGAAATACAATTTATATATTATGATATATAATAAACATTTAGTTAGTAAATTAATACACAAAATTTACCGTTGAGATTCATCAGCTGCCTGAGAAGCTTCGGCCAATTTGGACAAAGCAGCTTGGGACCTTTCTTCAGATCTTTCAAGATCTTCCTCAATCATCTGAACTTTTCTGTTCAAAGCAGCTACTTCACTTTCAGCCTTTGAATAAAATCATATTTCAACATATTTTTTAAAATTACCAACTCGCATTGTTAACTTACCGCAGTTAGTGCCTTCTCTCTATCTTCCAATTGCTTGATAGCCTCTTCCAACTTGTTCTTGTTGGTATCTAAATCACTTTCCACCTGAGTCAATTTCTTTTGACATTCTCTTACGTCTTCATTTACCTAAACGAAAATGTATATTAATATTTTATTTTCAATATTTTTGTAGTCATAGTGATTATACTTTATCTGCGCGGAGGTTCGCGTCCTTAGCCTGGCCTTCACAAGTATCGGCCTTATCCATGGCGGTATCTTTCTCCATTTTCATGGCCTGCATCTTCTTCTTAATTGCGTCCATTTTGAAGTTGTTTTTTGTCACCCCACTTATATAAAATTAAAGAATTCATTAGAAACTATTAAATACATTTTATAAAATAATTTAACATCTGTGTTTTTTTTATTAAATTTAGATACATGAATCAACCATAATTAAAGATACACTGAATTTTGCTCAACTAAACCATTATATTTAAACTATAATAATGATTGGTTAAATACATTTTTTATAAATTTTTTTTTTCAAAAAATTAACTTCTCTGTTCGTACCTAATAGCTCATTTTTAGTTGATTTTTTAAGCTTAAAAACATACAATAGGAGTGTTATATAATATCACTTATATTCTTATATAATTGCTTTACTTATCATTTTTATTTATTAATTGTATTGTGTTTGACACCATAAAATGCTCAACGGGTAGTTATTTTTTGTGAAAATTGTTATTTGTATTATTTTTAGAGTTAAGTTAAAACCAATGATAATTTTCTGTTTATATTTTTGACCCAATTGAACAAATAGTTTTATCAAACAAATAAATAATACACTTTAAAATCACGCATGTCTCTTTAAGTAATATTTGTTTTTGACGTCCAATTTAAAAATCAATAAATAATAAATTAACATGATATTTTTTTTTCTTTTTAGTCCATTGCTTATTTAAGTTTTATAGAATGATGAGTATTTATATACTATATATTATGTATACACCAATATTTTTATAGGCTCAGAATTGATGGGTAATTTTAACGTTCGCTTTACAAGTTTTAAAAGTAAAATCTAACAAGTCGATATGTCTATTTTAAATATTTTTAGTGTTAAAACCGTTTTCAAAACTCTTTCTTAATGTATCAAAAGAGAAATTTAAAAAAAAATCCGTGCTAATATTAAAATATAAATGTAAATAGTTACATGTATAGTATACAAATAACTAAGAATTATTATTTATATTAGTAAATTATGATGGCTATAATTTAATGTTAGATAATATCATTGTTCATCATCTATTAAAATAATTTTGATTTTTAACTACCTGCAATGTGTGTTTTAATTAATACGGAAATTATTATTTAAACGAAATTCGTCTTTAATTTGTTTTTGGATAAATTAAATTTTATTTACGGCGTCATTTACGGATACACTATATTAAACTTATTATTGTAGTTGTAATAAATCGTTACGTACGTATAATTTTTTAAAGATCACGAAATATTTAAACAATACAACAATAATTAATGTATACCATCGAGTATAATATTTTTAAGCACCTAGGTATAATATAATATTATGAACGTATGCCTATATAGGTACCTACGCTTTAAATATTTACGATCTAGTAAATTGAAAATATTTTCGATAATTATTGCCCAATAATAATTATTTATTTATAAAACTAATAATGACGTGTAATAATTATTATATTGTTATTAAGACTGTAAATACCGTCCCGGAGGTAATTCAGAGAGGTAGGTATATAATATAGTAACATATTGACCCCTTCTTATTTTCCACCGTTATCTATTTCGGAAGAAAAATAGGCTTCCGTGGAATCGTACAAAAATAGCAAAGTCGCTAATGCCGATGTATAAAATAAAAAAAAAAATAAAATAAAAAAAATAGTCTGGTACCCGCCATTTACAGCGAGTAAACCGATACCGCCGCGCGGCACCACGCAGCGGACGTTTAAAAATAGTCGTACGCCGCCGTTGCGGTATGCGCTCAACCGACCCAAATTCCGACCAACCACCTCATCGCCCCCACTGGTCGTTACATTTTATTTTCTCCTCGCTAAATTTGTTTTTTAATTTTATTAACACCGCGATAATAATAATAATATTAAAACGACGCAAATCGCGCGAATCAATCATCGCGGGTATGTAGCGGGTGTATATTAACAATAACGCAACAATCATTATTGCCAATAATACAATATGTTGATTTACATCGCTCCCACGATAATATTATATTGTTATTGTTACAACCGATAACGGATTTATTTCGTATTTGAGAGAGAGAAAAAAAAATTCCAAATTCCAAACGGGTATAGCGATAATATTACAGCCGATGAGTTATCGACTCGCGATATGGGTATGTAAGTACCTATCCTAAGGGTACATATCGATTTTTAGAACGCAACGAAAATTCGGTAAGTAGATATATTAAATTGTTGAAAATCGGTATTCACCGAAGATATCAATCGAGTAATTAGTATTGTATCGTGTTACAGCGTTTATGAATGACGGCAAATGATGTCAACGCCAAATCTTAAATATAGAAATATCCGAGAACATGATATTAATATATTTTTTTGCACGAGCCCACGCTTTGTGACGAATTTAAACTATATTTGCATCCAGGCAACCATCAAAAAACGGTCAATCGTTTGTAAGAAAAAATTACTTGTAAACCTTTAAAATTTGAAATACTGCATATAGTGTAAGCATTTAGATATATTAAATCGAATTGAAAAACTGTAGTCATCCGATCGAGTTTATTTAATATTAAATGAATGTTGCAGATTTTAAAAAAAAATTGCTACATAATAGTACCTATATAATATTGGTTTTTAACGGCAATCGCACGTTTAAAATATTTAAAATAAAGTATTAAAAAAAGTATGAGATATTTGAACTTATAATATTTCGTAGCGTCTAATACCTACCTACTGAAAACGGCTTGTTTTTTACAGACAAAAAGTTATACTATCTACATATTGTAATATTATATATTATACAGATAATAAGAGTTAATAAAATTGTTATACATTTATACTTTTAAAACCGATTAAATAATAATTTTAATCGATTAAACGTGTCATTTTTAAATATTGCGATTAACACAAGTTAAGACAATAATAAGAAACATTATTATTTAATAATAAAGATAATAAATAGTATGTATTTAGTTTAGGATAAAATAATAATAGAAAAAAAAAAGTTTTATAATTACCTCCGAATAAAATAAACAATCTGAAAGGCACCACTGACAGCGATAGCAGCTGATCCTGGACTGTTGTTGTTCTATATGTGTAACAGCGAATCTGTATTATGTTCCCTTCTCCCTCTCTAAGTACGCCCCACCATAAACATTTTTAACTGGTGGGGATTTGTATTTAATAAAATATAGGAATGTAGTGACGAACTAGGAGAGCCCTTTTAGTAAAGTGATCTATGAAACCAGTGAGCTTTATATAGCTGCATTGAACAGGGTAAAAGTATACATATCCCCAAGGTCAGCTTATATAAATCGTCAAATATAGTACAAACCATCCCAAAAAAATAAATAGATTTGTACCTATAATACATTTTTGTAGTGCTCTCAATCAAATTGCATATTTCTCCTAAAACTATTTTGTAGTAGACGCCGTGTGCATAGAATAGAAGATTTGAATAGATTATTCGGTTATAATTTTAAAAAGTTCTATTTTTACTCATAATAAGAAATTCTAAAATGGCGATCGTAGTAAATTAATTTAAATTACTTGACCAGTAAAAGTTACAGTGATGATGGTGCCAGAAGAGTGCCATAATGCACCATCCTAAAATGTATTGATTCTATAGTAAGCCCCGTAGCATTTAAACAGTTTGAAAACAGAAATCATGACTAAAATAAAACACGTACATAAATGTAAAAGATAAACCTATAGAAAATCATACAAATTCTGTGAAACAAGGTCCTGGTTAGACTAAAAATTATTAAATATTAAAAAGGTAAAACTTATTTAGATATTTCAAGTGATGAAAGTTTCGCTAATAAGTACCTATATGAGAGAACCGATATATTTTAAAACGTGTTTTTTGTATATCGTTAACAATATATAATTTATTGCGATTTGAAAACTTCAAAATTAAAAATTAAATTGTTAACAACATACCTACAGTATGTTCGCGATATGAAGTACTATCTAATATTTAAACTGGATGACCTTGAATTGAAAGGGAATTTTCGGGAGGTGATAAGGAGTACCGAAATATACTAATTTCAAATTTTTAACACTGATACACTGGCATGAGCAGTACAACTTACTTCTATTAAATGGCAATTTCGATTTTTTTCTATAAATTCGGGTACAAGTTTTTTTAACTACAAAATTGGCAAAGTTACAGTAAGTTGAAATTTAATATTTGAATCGGTCATTTGAGAAACAACATAATTACCAAATGCGTGGAAAACAAATTAAAACTTAATGTGGAACACAACTACGAAAAACGACATATTTCCTTTACAGTATACTCTAAATCAAAGTGTTAAAGTGAATTATGCTATTTCTCTATGGAACACGTATCTACCTTCAGATAATCAAAATTCATCATTATCTCGTTTTATCAAAATTGGTGTTGTTTCTCAAATGCCCGATCTCCGATTTATTTACGAATAATCTGTTTGTAACGACATTTCAGCAATAATCATTTTGTAATCCAGCTATCCTGGATATTATTAGTTTATCATATGTACACAGATTAAATTTCAACATAATATACTGTAACTTTGCCAATTCGGTAATTAAACAACAGCATTTTATACAAAAATTGTTAAAAAAACAATATTTCTACACGAGTCTGTAAAAAAAAAAAATTGTGGTAGTCATTTAAAAATAAGTAAGTTGCACTGCGAATAAGCGTACCGAAAGTGTTAAAAATTTGAAACCTATCTAAAAATGTGTATTTCGGTACTCCCTATCAGTTCCCGAAGACCCCATTTCAATCCGTGCAGGTCATCCAGTTGAAATATTAAGTGGTAATTCTTATGGTGAACACCGGTTTGTTACAGAACAATTATTATTATAGACAAATTATGAACAATATATTCTAGAGTTCTCATTATTTTTTCGGAGACCCCTAACAAGTGCCCCGTTTTGCCCCCTCCCCCCCCCCAATGAGCACCCACAACACTAGTAGTTAAAACGTTATTTCTGCCCGTCCGTCGTAAACTATAACAATATAATACTATAATCATGTACATTTTTGTTCGCACTACATTTATAATTATAGATTTATCGTATAAACATCAATAAATAAGCGTGGATACCAATAATATTTACAAATGAGTTGAAAATGAATCATAAAACGTAATAATGCGTAATAAATAATAAGAAAGCTAATATTCCACGATTTTTTCCTGGTTAAAGCGCATTACAAATGTATGGTTAAAATAATTAATTGCCTACACTGAAAAAAATAGGTAAGTAATGGGTAGGTAATGAATGTATTTTTTAACCACGACCACTGTTATTATACCTATTTGTACAATAAAAAAAACTCGAAAATGTAAGTAAACACTCCAGACCGGTAATAATATGTCATGAATTTGATTGGTAGGATGGTAACGCCTCCCTAAAACACTTAGAAATTTAGACTACTGACTCGGCAGTTAAACGGTAATTTAATTTCAAATTCGAGCTAATAATTTCTTAGATATTTGTTTAATATATTATTACATGAACACCGTTAAATTATTAACATCAAATGTACCTACCTAGATACTTATCAAATAACAAAATAGTGGGATAAATATTCTTTGAAGTCTATAAATTTGGTAAGTACCTATTTGGAGAAGGCAAATTTTTTATCACGCTCTTTCGTGGATTTTCGCGAACCCCGACTCTGGTAAAAATATATTTTTATTGGATGTACCTATTCTTATGAATTATTGGCTCTAATCATAATGTCTTGAATACACTATAGAAAATATAAAGAAACGTGTCCACTAATATTTTAGTAGATAATTAAAAAAAATAAACCTGTATAATATTAAGATCATTTTATCATTTTTTGTAATTGTACAAAACATATAATTATTGTTGCTTGTTTAGTTTTAACATAATCACAACTATACTTGCCTATATAATTTGTTAACTGTGGTAATTTATCAATTTACCTCTGGTAAAATATAGATCAAAGTATGATGAACTAAAAATAATCGTTTTATAAAAGCACTTATAACTACATTTTCAATCATATAATATTAGTAACATAATTATTTTCAAGTATAATAGTTAGAATTTTAGATTTTTATTTTAAAACGTATGTTATTAAAGGCCATGTATGTTTAATTATTATTATTATGGAAATAAAATATTTAGGTACTTCAGTTTTCATTTATAATTTAAAATCTCATGTAAATCTACTTTGTATTTTAATAAAAAAATAATGTTGGTATATATATTTAGGCCAACATTATATAGAAATTATTCACTTTACCGTTATTTTTTTTTATATTTTTTTTATTAAACTTTAAATTGTCCCCGATATTATATATAGGTAGGTATCTAATTATATAATTATAATATCTGTACTTATATAATTTTTGAGAGTTTGGTGTTTAATGTTTATTGTTTAATTTTGGTTTTTAAATCTTTTTTTTACATGTATAAATTAATTATAAACAATGGCAAAAGTTGTTTATGTTAAGAGGCTCATATTATTACATTCTTCGGTTAAAAACAAGGTTACCTACTACCGAGGTTAAGTATAACTTATAGTACTGAGATATAATATATTAAGACAATTTGATACATGTGACAAAAATAATATTTTTATGGTGATCACAAAGTAAGTAAGTAGATACCTAATATGTCTAATTTTAAAACATTTTTTTAAAACTTTTAATAGTATGTAGCCATATTTAATATGGCTACAAATTAGTTTTCTTTTAAAAAAGAGTTACTACTGCTGATTAGTGTAGGTACCACTATTATATGCGAGAGGTGGGAAGGTACAATATATAGAATAATTTAATTTATATCTGTACACAACATTATTTATATCAATGCTAATGAAAAACTAATCTAAGTGAAGCTCTGTTAAACATGCTTTGAAACGCAGTAATTTTAAGGACTTTTATTAAAATTTTAACTATAAACTCTTTAAAAAAATTACTACAATAGGTACGTTCAATATTCTCATACCACAATAAATAAAAGTTATGATGAATTATGAACCTCCTGTCAAATTTTTGAGCATTTTACAGGGCCAAAACAATTTGATGGACGTAAAATGCATAAAAACTAAATTACCCATCAACAATATCATGTCTTTTCTTTTCTGTTTCTTAAAGAAGAACTAAAAATAAAAATCAAACGATTTTGACGTCTATAAAACGGGTACACCAACTGTCTGTACCTACCCATATAACAATATAACGTACACAGACACAGAAGTTGCTGTATTATAAACCACTGGGTGATAAAATCTTAATCATTTCGCAATATAAATATAAATTATGAAATACATACCTACTTATAATAATTTAAAATTAACTAGATGTACCGATTTGTATTTTTAATTGTTTTATGTGGCATGATTTATATAATTATAAATCATAAATGTTAATAATATTATATTAATATAATAATGTTAATAAATCATACATATTTTAAAAATGTAAAAGTCACAATATCTTGTTATTAAAAATTATTGTAACAGAATATTATGAACTATTTTAGTATTTCTACTAGGAGACAAAACCTGCAAATGGCCTGTTTGTGTAAACTTCAAAGACACTTAATATAAATAAAAGGAACGAGGAACGCCAACAATTATAATCTCTACGAGGAGAATATTGTTGGCAAATTATCAATGGGAATTTAATAAAATAATATAATAGTAAAATTTAGCGATTTTAAATGTTTTTGAACAAGATATAAAATTATTCACTAAATTATAGGGGGAAAAAAAATGAAACAGGAGTCATATGGGGTGTTATGTAATCTATACAGATTAGGTAGGTATTTATGGCGAGGGTTTTGGCTGTTAATTATTTGAAATATGAGTGAAATGTGAATTTAAAAAGGAATTAAACTTCTATATTAATTTCGACATTGGGGGGTTTTACATCCTCCCCCCATTCCCTCCATTACCTACGTCCCTAGTAGATACCCAACTAATATAGATTTCAGGGCCAAATAGCATTTGAGAACACCATACTATATAATCAATACAAAAATTTGATCATGGAAGCACGGTAGAGTTGATGGACAATGAACATGTACAAAATTGAATAAAAATGTGTAATTGCATAATAAATCTATAGTTAAAATTCGTATTAAATAATAGTTTTGAGCTGTGAAATGACAGTGAAATGGTTTCAGCGAAGTGTTCTCAAGCTGTAGCTATGACACTTTGTCGAGATCGTTTATTTGTTTTTATAGTAAACCATATAGATAATAACAACTTAATATGCGTAAACAAGGGGGTCCATCTTCGAAAATCCAGAGGGGGACACTGTATTTTTTCAATAATGTTTACCTTCCTGTTAACTTATTAACTGTTATAGATAGGTATCAGGCACGTATAATCGATAACTATGTAACAGACACGGAAAAGCAGGGGGGCATGTTCCCTACTTACCCCCCTCTACTATGGAAGTCCATGTACGTAAATACTAATTATAACTGTAGGTATCAAAATAAAGTACCTAACAAACATCCTAGACCCTGAAACTCATGAAAATAATAAAAATATAGACAGGAATATTTAAAATAAAAACGTGACACCTCACCCCGTGTTTTTAGTAATTAAACTCGTTCCTGGCCTTAAGAGGACGGTGGCGTCATACCCGGCACACGCATATATTGGAAATTAATGCAATAGGTTAATCAATAAACAGAATATTCTAAATTTGTTCACAAATTTAAGTCAATGAATTGTTTAATTACAGACTGACCATATACATTAACATAATTCATAATGACATAAATTAGGACTGGTTTATATTTCAATAGGACCGTAACCCTTCGCCTAATATGGTATGGTTGCTTACGTGAAATTCGGTGTTTGTCGATATAACAATACTATTTTGTATTTTTGTGCATTTTGGCAAAATATAAAAATTATATACGTAGACCATATTGCTAACGCCATCTGCAGGACTAAAATTTATCTACGGCTAACCGTGACCGCGGTATAGTTAGATCCAAGTTTCCGACCACCGACACCAACGCTCAACGGTATCCGCGGATGTCGCCACAAACAAAAACCGTTAAAAAAATTAACCGTCTCCCGACTCCCAGTCACCGTCTATTTCGTTGTTTGTGTATTGCTTTCAAATTGCGTTGTACTACGTCGTCGTGCCGATTTATATTACTATTCAAACCGGTTACTGCCTATGGGAATATTTGTCGGTTGTTACTCGTCACGAATATCAAGATAAATATGTCGGCCTTCCTTTACGGGTCGCCGTTAACGAAAGACGAGTGAGTATTTCATTTTATTGTCATTATTTTACGACAAACGTGTGATGGCGTTTTCGAGTAGAGTATTTTCAATACGTAATAAGTGTTTATAACAATACACCTGTTGGCCAGTTTATCGAGTGTGTTAAGTTCAAGTCGTGCTACAATATTATTATTATTATTTAGTATTCACTTAACTACCTGCGATAATTCGAATTGCATTTGCAGTACCTATTCATTAATTTGGCGTTAAAAAATGTCCGAAACCCGTCGACGACGATGTTCACGTCGTTTAAATTAGTGAGAACAATTTTCATTTTTTTGTAATGATAACAATATTATTGTATTATTATTATGAATTATTATGAATATAAATGATATTCAAACTGTTATATTGATAATGTTAAGACTTAGTATTTCGATTGAAGACCATATTGGTAGATAAAATGCTATAACGTATTATGCTAATTTAATTTACAATTCTCTTAGTAAACCGATAAATGGAAAAATATGTACTCTATACATCTTATGTAATATAAGATATTAATAATATACAGTATAGGAGTATTTTTAAATACTGCAAAAGTTTTCGATTCTGTTTCACATGAAATGTTATCGGATAAATTTAGATATTAATAGTAGATAGAAATACGTTCTGGTTTTAGTTGTATCTGTGTAATATACAACAAACTGTAATAATATATGAAAATATTAGTGATTATTAAACAATAAAATATTCTTCAAAAAATAATTTTAACCCCGATTATTTTTTCAATATACATATATATTTTATTTGTGTCAACTATAAACCGAGATGTATTAGCATTCGCAGATGACAGTATTAATTTTTTAAAGGGGAAATTGGTGTGAGATAGCAAAGAAGCCAAATTTAGGACTTGAATTTCTATGCATTAGCGTGTTTTTTTCCTTTAGTCCAAATTGATTGGTTGTTAGGTATCTCCAAGATTCGCGAGACAATTTGGCTTATTCTTGATTAAATGGAACAATTTTTTTTTTTTTTTTCATGTTTAGATTTTTGAGAATCTTATGAATTTTAAATGGTATTTATTTAATAAACGTCTATAATTATTGTTTTATTCGTCAAATTATTTTTAATATTAGTCTTGTCTTGGTTTATCTTAGGGTGACCATACCTCCTGTTTTACACAGGATTGTCCTTTTGTTTTTTAACTTTGTCCCCTGTTGTCCTGACAAATTTATTTCAGGACGCTTTTTACCTTGTTTTTTATATATATATATATTGGTGCCAATTATTTCTTATTAATTCTTATTTTATTTTTAAATAAAATAAATTTGTCAACAAAAATATTCGTTACAGAATATGACAGCAATTGTATTCATGAAAAATAATAACTACATGAATCGATACTGGTGATAATGCATCAAAAATATACGAGTGTATTTAAAATAGTTTATAATATTTCATGAATAATACTTTGAGTGTATTGCTAACATTATTTTGTCCCGTTGTTTTTTTTTTTTTCTAATTCGTTTTAATAACGTATATTGTGAGACAATACAAAAGTACTATCAAACGATAACTGAAATTGATAACTGAATTGGTAAAAATAAAAAAATTGTTATTGTATATAAATCCTAGCCATAATAAATCCACATTTATTTAATTCTCTTTAACTACCAAATATAAATTATTCTAAAATCTTGCATAAATAAATGAAACATTTATTGTAATATGTATTGTAATAAACATTCCTTGAATCTAAAAAGAGTACACACTACTAAATATTTGTCAATCATTTAAAATGGGTACCTCATATTGATAATGTAATAATATTATATACAAGGAAATATTTTTATATATTCAAAAAACTACACATATTTTAGGTATCAATGTATGTATATAAATTCTAAAATAATATATTTAGCTATAGAGTACAATCCATATTGTCACATGGTCTTATTGTGTGGGATTCTGCTTACATAATTACATTATAACCACTTAATGTAGTACAGAGAATTCTATTAATTATACTAATTATACCTATTAAAACATTGTTATAAACAAAATTATTATAGGTACAGTTGATTTATTTAAAATTCTTAAAAATATATCTCTTGAAAAATTATATGAAAAAATGTCAATTATAGAAATATATACAAATATTACAATCGTAAAAATACAAGAAATACCACTAATCAAAGCTTAATAGCTGCTAAGTCTACTGCAATATTGTAGTACAATTTCTTTTTATATATATATATATATATATATATAGAGAGAGAGAGAGAGAGTAATTAATCTTATTAATACCTTGTCTTGTGTCATTAAAATTTCAAAATAAATTTTAATTGTTATTAATTATTAAAAAATAATAATATTTCATTCAGCAGTTTAATAAACTATTGTTTAGGTTAGGTTAAAAATAGTTTACTATATTATATACTCTCTTTGCGGATATTTATCAGTGTTACTTAATATTTATTAAAAATGTTGCATTTCATTGTTTCAGCTCTGATTTAATGAAAACAACAGGAATAAATTCTTCTATGAGGTAAGTTAAATGTACCCAAGTTAGTGATAGTAATTTAATTTAAAGCTTCAATGTATCTGTGATTTTGAAATTGATGATAATTTATTGAAAATTTAATAGATTAGGTAAACCTATCATTTAGTTATATCATTTCTATTTAGCTAGTCAATATTGATAAATACTCTTAATTTTATAAACCCAATACCTAAGTACTATGTTAAAAACAAATCAAGTTAACACTTGTTAAAATAAAATAACTATACATTTAATGTAATAAAGGTTTTTTTATCCTGTCATTTTGCTTATCCTCAAAACTTTTGGAAAATTTTTACTTTATATTAACTTTTATTTTTAAAATTTTACTGTTCCTAGCCTATATTACTGGAATAAATGTATATAAAACACACTACATAGGTGTCTATTTGCAATAAAAGTATATGTTGAAAATTAATTAATTAAAATTAATTTTGTTTACTGTACTCAGTCAAACAGTAGGTATTGCTGTATATTTCTTTTTTCTTATACAATAATGGCTTAAAAATTATTTCTGTATACAATTTTAAAATGACACACAAATATATAAATTAATAATATTTATTACGATAATTTAAATGGTTACAAAACCAAATACGGGTATAATATAGGGCGTGAATAGAAACAGTAATTATAACAATAACAGATACTAAATGGAGGTATGGATAAAGGTATAGAATTTGGTGTAGTCATTTAGGATCCACGCACAGGGAAAATTAGAAACTAGATAAAGAGAGCTCAGTGAAAATTTTTGAGCTTTGCTTCTTATTTGCTAAAATTGATCATCACATGAGTATGATTCTGTGTTGAATGCTCTAGGTCTGCAATCCTTGGTAGATATGCAAAGAATTGCTTACCAACTGTTCTTAAGGAAGCTTACTGAGGTATGACGAGAGTTATCAAACTGAATTGCAGTTATAAATATGAGCTTTATATAAATATATATGACCCATTGTTTGTAAAATGTTGTATTCTCAGAATAATTTTAATTTAACATATTTTAAAGAGAATTATAAACTTTTACATTTGCATAACTTAATATAATTTCAACCACCAAAGATTTTTTTTCTATTTATATGTAAATTATTAAATAAATTTTATTTTGAATTATTGAGATAAATCTTAATTCCTGTCTTAATATATAAAATGAATAAAAACAATTTTTTTTTTATATTACATTTACCTAAAATTAAATTTGATTAAAATATTAACCTTTGCCATTTGATTTAACTTATAGTTCAGATGCAAATGGAATTAAATTAATCTTGGATGAATTGTATGTATATTCAAAAAAGGAAATTCTGAAGGTTAAACAAAATCTGGATGATATATATGGCGCTAATTCAGATGAAAAGAAAAATGGCATGAATCAACTTCGTGAACATTTTAAACTTCATGTAGCAGTAAGTTGTTAATATTTTATGATTGTAATAATGTTTATAAATAATCTAATTTCTACTAAATTATGTAATTGTTTTTATTTTCCAGACTTTTTTTGATGAAGTTGTTTTAGAATCGGACAAAGATAAAAATAATGTTATTAAAGACATTGAAGAACTATTATCTGAAAAAGAAGTGTTAGAAAGAGTCAGTCAATAAATATTTTACTATTTGATTTATTTATTTATATATTCTTTATATATTTAGGAACTAAAAATGCATATTAACATTGATGAACAAAATGATTCCACACCATTAATTGATGTACAAATTGCTATTGATAAAGCATTAAAAAATTGCAGACAAATCAAATTAGACCGTATGACAGAACTAAATAGACTTCAAGAAGAAGTAACTAGAACCTTATATTAGATTATATTAAATTATATATTTCTAAATAGGTTTGATCTTTATAGGAAAAACAATTATGTAAACTACTTGACATAAAGCCTAAATATGCAGATTTTAAAGAGATGCCCACTCCGGTTCAACTAGAAACTATAAACCATCATATTACTGATTTGCATAATACTCAGGTACTGTTTATTATTCATTTATCATTGACTTGTAGTTAATTAATAATTTATTGAATGGTTATATAATAGATAAAACGCCAGGCGACATTTCTGGAACAAAGAGCTAAAGTTGAAATATTATTTACAACTCTAGGAGAAATTCCAATTTTGCATTTTGACAAATTGGTGTTGGGAAATCCAGATCTGTTTCAACTGTCTAAGTCAAACTTGGACGAACTTCAAGTAAAACTTAACACAAATTTTATTTTAATACCATTATGCATATTAAATTTATATTATTTATACAGAAATTAATAAAACGTCTTGAAAATCAAGCTGAAAACCAAAAATCTATGGCTACAGAATTGAGAACGAAATTGAATACATTATGGAATCGTTTGCTAGTTAATGTTACTTATAGAGAACGTTTTGTTAGTACCAAATTAGGATATGACAAATCTGTTATTAATGAAGTATGTACAACTTAAATATTTGCTTTTTGTCTAATTGTGCAGGATATGATACTTATCATTTAGCCTAAACATTTAACTGTGATTTATATAATTTGTTTTATATCTTTAAAGCTCAAAAAGGAAGTTGAAAGATGCGAGACTTTAAAAAAAGAAAATGTGAAACAATTTATTGAAAAATTACGTGCTGAATTAAATGACTTGTGGGATAGGTGTCATTTTGGTGAACATCAAAGAAAACAATGTCACATATATTATAAAAATGAGTGTACAGAAGATGTAATGGATTTATTAGACATTGAAGTTGATAATGCTAGAAAATTCTATAATGAAAATCAGTAAGGATATCAAATTATCTTTAAATAAAACATAAAAATGTATTGATTAAATAAAATTATTTTAGGTCTATATTTTATTTAATGGAAGAAAGAGAAGATCTATGGCAAAAAATGATTGTAATGAAAGAACATGCTAATGATCCAGCTAGATTATGGCAAAACAGAGGAGGACAGTTGTTAAAAGAAGAAAAAGAAAGAAAGACTATTCAAAAAGTAATGTTTTGCTCATATCTTCAAATTAAAATTAGTTTTTATTGTTTTCTTATTATTTTTATAGGAACTACCTAGAGTTGAAAAAGAATTGAAACATTTATTACAAACATATGAGCAAAGAGAAGGTAAACCATTTCTGTTCAATGATAACAGATTATTAGATATTATTGACAATCAATGGAATGAAATGAGAAACAATAAAAAACCTATTCAACAAACTAAGGTAACAAGATTATTTTAAAAAAAAAAAAAAAAAAAAACCCGTATTTAATATAAGAATTATATACATTTTTAGTCAAAAATACTAATTGGAGTTAGACCTCAAACACCTCAAACAGTCACTCGCAGTAAGAGGAAGATTGTTCCAGCATCTAGTAGCAACCAATCTTCTAAGGTCCGTAAAGTTGACACGGACCATAAAGCTAGGGTAACATAATATTAAAATAATACTTATGTATGTGTATATAGAAATGTTTATTTATGTTAATTACTTTTGGATTATTTATAACTCAAATTTTTATTCACCTTGATATTTGAAATTTTTTTATAATAAAGACATTATACTTATGTAGTTACACCTCGTTTATCAGACTTACCTATCCAGTTTTAATTTAGAAGTAGAAGTCTATTAAGTGCAGTGAATACAAATTTATTTTTAATAATACATTTTATTGTTTAATTTTTTAATTGCTGAATTGATCCTAAATTATGTCAAATAAACGAGGTTTGGCCTAGTGTAAGTATAATTAATTTTATATTCCTCAAAATCACGACAATATATTGAAGTTATTTATTTCATTTTTTTTTTTTTTTAGGTGCTGCATCCTAAAAGAAACTTATTTGATCACGGCAATGTGGCAACATTGGTACCATTAAATTCTACAAAACTATTTGAAAAAAATCAACCGACAACAAGTAGACAATACCAAACATTCCGTGGATCTAATGATGAAAATGTATCAGTAGAATCCTATTCAACCTTTCAGGTTTGAATTATGTGAGATAATGCGTTCCACACATATTACTTCAGTGTGATTTCTTTCGCTTTAGTTTCTTAGTTTTTTTTTTTTTTTTTTTACCATTTCATAATAATGCTAATTGTAGGTTTCTATAAAAAGTATATACACCTCTGTTTACTGTCTATCTTGCAAAACTAACTGTTTCCTTTCCTGGACATTATACATTTAATTGTTTAAAAATATTATGTTTATGTTTATATATTGTGATCATGGTTTTATGACAAATATTTTATTTTAATATAGAAGTATTAGGAAACCTGGAAATCTGGTATGGCCAAATAATATTAGTTTCATATTGTGTTAACAGTAACTAAGAACTAAAGCATTATAAATATCACAACCAATGATTACTGAAACAATACAATTCCTAAATAAATACTACCAAAAACACGGCAACAATTTTATTCCATTCTGTTCTACAAATTTGTCCAGTCTACTGTAATTGGGAATATTTTGTTTTCTCACCAAATACTGCAAAAAGAAACTGATATTTATGTATTTCCTATTATTTGTATAATCAATTTTGTATCAATTTACTGTGCTTTTGTCTAATACATTTAGATGTTATAAATATATTTGATGCTTAGCTTTACAATGAATAAACAAATGATGTTTTATAATTTGTTTTATTTTTGCAAATGTAGTGCTATACAAATGTGTGTTTCATAATATGTATCATTTTTTTTATTGCAATTGCTTATTAGTATTACTATCATTAAATCCACACTTGACAATGTATTTTATTTTTGTTTTAGGAACATCTCGAATCTAAAAAGCATATGTTGTTTGCAAGCCCTACTAAAAATATATTGGGGGAACAAAATAATACACCAGGGAAACGTTTAATGAAAACACCTATTAAAGGATCGCAAATTCCAATACCAACAACACCTAAAACTCCAATACGGACAACACCAAAAACACCCAATACACGTACAGTTACCAAACTTACAAGGACAATCACGAACAAACTCCCAATAATTTTTTAAACTTTAAAAGTTTCCTACTATTCTTATGTTTTTTATTTTCATCTTATGTACTTGTATTCATGTCATTTCTATATTATGTACATATTTTAAATAATAATTTGTAAATTTGTATTCTACACTTCATATGTTTGTCGTATATTTTAATTTCTGATGAATTGTATATTATAATTTGTTTTTTTATTTTAAAAAGGTAAAATATATAATCAAATAAAGGGTAATTTTATATTTAATGTTAAGTTACATTCTATATGTATTTTTTATTTTAACTGCACTTAATATTTATATATGTTATAATTATATTTGTTTTAATGATGACAAAATATATTTTTAATTTTTATATTTAGTATTCAAGAGTATAAAATTCCAATATTTAGTGTTAACACATACAATATTATAAATACATTTACAAGATAATATTTATTTTTGTATATATTATAGATTTATAGCAAAACGTGATTAATGACATACAAATTAATGTATGCAATGTGTAAATATATTAACTTAAAGCATTATTTTTAGTACATTATGTTAGTCATAATTTTAAAATATTAAAAATAAGGTGAACAAATCAATAAATATTTTGTACTGAAGCTGTGTTTATGATTGAAACTTGACTGTAAAAAAATTTAAAAGCATTAGTTTAACACTAAAATCTATAATATTAAGCTTTTACGTTTTAATTTGATTAGTACGCTGCTAAATCATAAGATTGGCCAATTTGGTCAGCAATGTCTCTATACTCCTGTTGAGCTGTGTCAAGTTTCTCTAAAACAAAATAATATTTGGCATTAAACACAAATCTAAATTAAGTTTAAGAAAAAATCCAGCGAGTTGTTAATAAAACTACACACCAATTATAACTGTAATAAGGGCTCAAAAAACCCTAACACAATTATGTAAATTTTGTTATATTCACACTCGATGCTTCTAAACAGTTATTTACATAAAAACTATTACTCATAACTATATAAGTGGATTTAAAATTTAAAAAAAGAGATAAAGCTAGGAACAGGTGTGCCACTGTTGTAGGTAGGAAGTTGGGAAGATAAGATACATAAAGTTATTTAATTTATATCTGTAACCAACAATAAACCATTACTAATGAAAAACAATTTAAGATTGGTTATACATGTTTCGAAAGGCCTTGATATTAACAATTTAATAATAAAATTTGCAAAAAAAAAAAAATGGTACAAATACTCAATTTTTTTTTTTTTTTGACCACCAAGTACAACTTATAATGAACTTCCTATTAAAATGTGAAGCAATTCTGTATGGTTAAAACAATTTTTTCCATAGAATACTTGCCAAAAAAAAATAATGCACAAAAATCTTACAAAATTAAAACATTTAAAATTTACTCAAATGTTTTGAAAATTTTACCACACTTTAAAAAGGCAAATATAAGTTTTCTGTTAAAACTTTAAGTTTTAACAAATAATTTTAACTGGATTACAACAAAAATAAATCCAATATTTCTGTTAACTTTCTCATTCTTTCTGTATATGATTACTTAATTATTAAGATATCTGCAAAGAAAATTAAAATATGACTTTCTTACTCACCAACTAGATTAAAAACTCAATGAAAAAGGTCTCTTATTGTTTTATTTAAAAAGATATTTCTGATAAAAAAAATTGTGCCTGAAAATTTAAAATAATGAAGTTGTATACTGTAAATTTGTTCATTTTCAATTTCCATCTTTTCCCAGTATTTCCCAATTATTATAAAAATCAAAAAACGACTTTGTGAGTAACAAGATCCAAAATACAACATAAAAGGTTTAAGGTTATTAATTAAAACAATAATATAATTAGAAAACATAGTTTGTGAAACCATGTTGAGATTGTATATTATATTAAATTAGTTATACTTATGATATAAAATTGCATTTGTGTGTATTAGTGTTAAGAAACTCTATACATTTACCATTTGTGGGTGTTAATTATCATAAATTAAAATTAAAACCAATGAAATCGGCACAGTGATATTTGACATTTTTCAAACAATCTTGTTCCCAGTTTTTCCCAATTATTTTGTAAAATCAAATAATGAACTCGCTAATGTACTAACAACATAGAATTTCCTTATAGACAATATTGCTACATTTAAACATCGGAGAAAGTTTTCTTTTTGAAAAGTTGTTTACAGACAAAAAATAATCACTGAAACCAATAGATTCTTTCGTTAGCTCCTAATCTAAAATGTATATGATAATACTATATACATTATACATAGTACATAGGTACTTTCATTCAAGTTGTCTAAGTATTAAGAAAATTAACATCTCGTCTTGTTCCAAATGTGAGTTGTCTTTGAACAAATTTGAGTAATATACTAACAACTTCTTTACAAAGTTCTTAGTCAACAAAAAACCAAAATAATGCATTAAGTATACACAAAAAACAATATGTAACTGACAATAAATTCTTCTGGCTTATTTTCCATAGTAATAATAATAATTAAACATTAAAGAAAGGATATTTGGTATTTAGTACTCAGTTGGATTTGGATTACATAAATAATTTATAAAAGTTAACAATTAATAACAACATTTATTTTACCAGAGTAGTTTACAATCATTTTTTTTAATTTCAAATTAACACAAAACAATCTTCATAATAATACTTTTGACCCAATATTTATATTTTATTAAGTATATTAAATTTAATTCATGCTATTTTACAGCAGAGTTAAAAATAAACAAATAAATTACTGTTTTCGTGAACAGTAATTATGATTAGTTTGGTAGCAATATGATTATTGTTATTTTTTAAATCTAATGTTTCTATGGGTCTGTTTGAGTATGTGTTTTGCTTGGTGATAATGTACTGCATTATTGGTAGTTAATGAATGCGAACAATTTTCATTATTTCTTTATCCAATTTCGCACCATCCATTCATTTAACCCCAAAGTATTTAAAAACATAATTTTACATACTTGCAATCGTTCAGTATTTGTATGGTTTAAGAAATATATAAATGTATTTGACCTTCTGCTTTCATCTCCAAGTCCCGTAGTGTCACTTTTACGCGGTGTATTTGCCACCATACTAATTACAAAAGTTTTCTTTTCCTCCCAAGTCGTGGTGGACCAAAATTTTTTAAAAATATCTCTTCTTAATTTTTCATCAAAATTTTGACAAAATCTGTTCTTAAGGTTCTGACATTTTTTAGAACTACATGTTTCTTTCATAATTCTTTTGCTTCTCATTGTGTTATGATCAACAATTTTCCCACATCTTCTATAACCAATGTAAGCTTCTCCAGATATTCGTTTTTGTTTAGTAACTTCACGTTTATATTTTATTACATTTACATTTAAATTGCATTGTCTTTTTTCCGAAATTATTTTATTAGTTTCAATTTCAGAGTTTGCTATACAAGTAACATCTCGATTAATCCTGTAATTCAAATCCATATTTCTCTGTTTGCAGTTATATTAGTTGCTTTACTCTTGTTATAAATTAATTCAGTTCATATCAATTGTCAGAGAAAATGTCGTTTTTCCATGGCATACCTAAAAATTGTTAAAAACAAAAGTTATCAACTAAATATGTATAAGTTAAAAGAATTTTATATACAAATTATAATTTAAATATAGAGTATAATTTAATGTCCGACATAATTAAAAAATAATTTATCATATGACAATAAGAATGATTTATTATACATATTATACGTATCAATCATATATTGTAATTATAAATTATATTAAAATATAAATATGAATGAGTAATGTATAAATGACTTTTAAAATTGATTTAACTAAATATTGATCACAATATAGCAATGAAATGCCATTTATGTGAAATACATTTATAAAAAAATTGTATTTATTTTCAACTTAGTGATGGTGGGATTTATTGTCAAAACTAGTACCTGTATAAAACATTACATCTAGTACAATAGTATTAGTATAATTAGTATTTAGAATGTTAAATATAATTTTGGTAATTTAAAATTAATTAATAAATAAAATAATAATATTTAACTGTATAGTACCTACCTATAATATGCCATTTACTTAAATGTTTGACATGTATTTTAATAATGTGCACAGAAAACTTTGTATTTGATACTCGATCACTCGAAATTGAATATAACATTTACATCTTGTAAGAATATGTATCTGAAAAGATAAATTAAATGTGATTTTAATAGAAATGTTATGCATTTAAATACCTACTGAATTATCCATTAGATTACTCAGTGGCGTAGCTATAAGGGTGTCCACGGAGGCCAATTCCTCCGGAGCACTAAAATTGTAGTTTTAACTGTATTTTATATCACTCACGCAGGGTACTCAATAGGAAGATATTGCCTTTTGAGAGAACACGGTATAATAAAAGCTTATTAACAAGCATGGGATCGATGGCCACTTTAAAACTTTAGGATTTGCTTCATGGAAAGAATTTTAAACAAATATAATCTGGGAGAAAATCAAGTAAGCGACTGGTGGCAATTATTAAATTTGTCCTTTTAAACCCTTAGCTACGTCACTGAGGTTGCTAATACTATAATGCAAATATCTAATATAGTTTAAGCGATAATTACCTGAAATTTGAAACGAAAAAACTGAATTTTAAATTTTTGGGAGAGGGCACGAAGGCACGTGTTGCGAGTTCCAAATCGCTATTCGATATTAACTAATACGCTTCAAGCTTGAAACTCGTGGCTAAACATTTAGTCATATTGTAACATGGATAATAATAACAATAATAGTTGTATTATAGATTTGTAGATAAGTGTTGTTTACGCGTTATTATCAGATATGGATAATCAGTGTTATGATCACGAAAAATTATCAATTATTTTAGCAAATTCAGCATTCTTTAAGGGTACCTATGAAAAAACGATATATGTAATATATATATTTTTTTTTTTAATAGATGTTTCATTCGTGAAATGAAATATACCTATAGGTACATCTTTAATCGGGTACGCGACAGCCGTCGTTTACCTTTGTTGTCATTATTGGATTAAAAACAAAAATTGCCGACAACAATTAAACAATATCAAACATTCGGAGGGTTAAATTACGAAAACGCCTCGGTTAAATCCTATTAAACCCGTCAATTATTAAGTATTTGGATCGGCGATTGTACGCTGCGCCCGAGTTTTCGCCGAGTACGGAAAGGCGACACGTGAAATTGCGCCCGAGTAAAATTTGAAACATTAATAGCCCCGATAGATTTTTGCAAAATCGAATGCCGTGACACGAGTCGATCGGCCATCGTCACTTAACTGATTATTAAATGGACGGATATTGTTACTCGTTAGCGAACCGAGACCGCGCACAGCGATTATAATTATAGTATACACTAGTCAATAACCATAAATCCGTCGAGTCACCGCGGTCACAAATTGATGGTTAACCAGTTTGGTACTGTTGTCCACAGTGACCGGCGAGGCGGTGACTACGGCGGAGATATTCGTTTTAACTCATATCCTCTACAGATGACTCGCCCCATCCTATTGTCGGAAAATAATAATAATAATAAAGAATAAGACTCATTTTGAACGGCGGACAACGGTACACAACGGCAACGGCAATGGGCCACGATAATCTATGCATATAAAATCCAAATACCACTGACTGACCGATCGCTGTATCTCAAAAACTACGGAACGCGCGGACTTTAAATTTGGAATATGGGTTCTTCTCGTGTTTTCACCGCGCGGGGATGAGCAGGGATTTTCAAAAACGTTGCGTTTTGGTGGAGCAATTAACAATTATAATCATTCACCGCCGGTGCGTATTGCGCGGCACGGCGGCCCGCGGGTCTCCAGCTACCTGCAACCTGTCCTTTTTGTTCGTCGTCGTCGTGTAGATAAGAATAATAATTCCGAGAATAAAACCGTTCCGTGAAGTTTATCGATAAAAATAAATTTATAGATATCAGGTTATTACGTATATTATCGATAATTATGAATTTAAGACGGTAACACACGGCGTTATCTTGTTTGTCACGAATTTGTTTTGCGGGCAACGCCGGGTAATTTCAGCTAGTAAACAATAACGATAACACGCCCTAGACGCCACGCTAACGGTTTAACAAGGAGAAATAACAATGCTGGTGGGGACGATGAAAAGTTACCGTCCATCCGAGATGGTCACAACGTTTTTCGACCGATTTGTAACCGGTGAAACCAAACGAATTTCTTCATTTTATAACCGAATCCAATTTTGAGGGGAAATAGCCGCCGGTTATCTACTACAATTTCACCGAGTGTGTCATTTCAATATTACCTACCTAGTCACATGCTATAGGTATACTTTAATATTTGTGCGCGTTGAATTGTTTGGACGAAAAATTAATTTGAGTTCTATAAAATATGGTAATCACAAACTGGGCGCAGTTTACGTATGCCCAAGTAGGCATGCGAGATAATGCGATAATAATTTTTTTTTAATTTGATATTTTATAATGGCTCAAATCATAGACTTAATTTTTTTTTTTTTTCGAACACATTTGATTAATTTGATAGGTAGACATCAAAAATTCAATAACATGTATATCGAAAATTTGCAATTATGCGGTGTTGTTATAATAAAGATTATTTATATTAGGACAACCTACTTTACTCGATTTTTTACAGACAGGTGGATAGTTCGTTAAATTACAAATATTTTTTGCAAATTAGGTACCTGTTAGTATTTTTATTATTTGAGTACGCCTAGATCAAATTAGTAACAATTATTTGACTAATACAGTATTAAAAAAAAAAAAAAATTTAATAATTATTTAAAGCTACATAAAATTGATGTAGGTACCTATATTTAATAGTTAGCATTATAATAACATTACAGTCAATACAGAACTGAACATCGTAATCATTAAAGTGATCATTATAAAACAGTCTACTCGGACAATTTTATGAAGTATTCGAATACGAATAATTTAATACTCTTTAGATTCTGAGTGTGGCGAAGAATGTATTGGTTTTACAAAGATGTTTATTTTTTTTTTTTTTATATGTTTTCTACCCGAAAGCTTACTCCGATGTATACGATTGTAAACCCTTTTCTGAATGGAAATTGTCTCGGGGAGATACTTTAGGGAGGTTATTTTTCGATTTTCCTAAGAATTTTCCCAACAAATGAAAACGGGAAAAAACATAGAAAAAACGGCAAAATCGATACAAAATTAAACAAATATTATTAAAGAAATTATACAATGCCTGTTTAATTATTTTATCATAATATGACAATATATTGTTGACAAAGCATCACTATCAACTGAACTCCATTTCCAAGTAGTTTTTAGTAAGCAATGGTTTATCGCTGCTCATACAGATACAATATAGTTTCTCCTCTATGTCCTACCTTCCCAACTTCTCACCAACAACGGTGGTTCTATTCTATTCCTATGGATAAATTTGAAAAAAATAAATATTCGAAACATTCTGAATACGTTTTTTTTTATTATTTTTGAATCCTTTTTTTAGAAAAAAACTGATTATAACTACCTTTTCCATATATTTTAATCGATTACAAAAAGGAGTGGAATGAGCAACTATTATAACAAACTTATAGTCCGCGGAACGTTTTTATTTTATTTCTTTATTTTCCCTTAATTCCGTTCTATTCTGAATACGGTGCAATCATTTGGTATCCATACCTATCCAAACATCTTATTAGATTAGAACGCGTTCAAAACAAATTCCTCTCCTATGCTGCATATTTACAGCTGTAAATAGAGTATCCTCAACATGACTATACTCACTCATCCGTTCATATTCAAAAATACCCTTGTTCTCAATTCGTCGCTCTGGCGCAGACCTCAAGTTCATCTCATCTATTCTCAATGGCTCCCCGAACTACCTGAAATTCTATCTGATATAAAAATAAGTGTTCCTTCGTATAGTTCTGGAAACCATACCCTATTTTTTTATTCCTCCTATACTCCTATATTCAACTCCGTATGGTTATAGCAGTTCATTACACAGTACCTATGCTTCGTTTATCAAATAGTGCTCCCACATATTGTTCACCTCAGTGTTAAATATTTAATTTTAAAATACTTTGTACAGTCGTTATACTTTGCGTCGTATTGTTGGACTGATACTTGATGTGTATTTACAAAATTTTCGATTGCCATTGATAAAATAAATAAATACATTTGGCCAAAATTTCAAGTAAATTTTTTTTTTAAATACGAGTTCGATTATTTTTAAATGAATTAATTTTTAACGGGGAGTAAATTGTACGGCGCTTGAGGAGCGGCAAATTTGTGCGACCATTCGTGGACGACAAAACAACCAACAAAAACACCAAAAGCCTAACATAACAGTAAAGCTGGTTATACTACACTAGATGTTTGGAAGGCAATTTAAACATGTCTGATCCCGTTCTGTACTATTAGTATGCATTTGTATACCTATATAGTTTAGTGTTCTGTATCAGTGAAATCATCTAAACCATTGTCTCCGTATAATCTAAAATTACGACAACGATATTGAACGGACAAGGAACGGATAAAGTGTAAATAGACCTTATTTGCTTATTGATCATCATTCCGCCCAAAATTATTCAAGAAATTCGGTAGCGTAAACTGCAGGATTTTGATATTGGTTGGTTTATTTGGTTCCGACTTAACACCATGATACAAACCATTTAAAACCGATTAAGTCAGCATTTCACGAATAAACCAGTTTTCTTAAATTAATTTCCTTATCACCTATTCGGAAAAATTCACTACGAAAATCTAAAATCGGTAACTACCAAGATGCCAGAAGTTGAGTGTAGAGCCACCCGACGGCTATCCACCACCTATGGACAAAATCAATGTTACCACCAGATGATCGTCCGACGACCGAATATTTCTGGGATATTCGTTTAAAATCATTTTGCGTGAGTTTAATTAATTGTATCCAGTGGCCGCACGTGCGGGTAAATTGGTTAAATAAAAACGACACACGCGATCTGCCGTGTCCAGTAGTTATTAGATGTAATTTTATTTTATTTTTTAAGGTAGTCGAATTTCACAGGTAGACGTTGGTTTGGATCAATATATTTCTAGACACAAATTACATCAAAACACAGGTATACGAGGTAAACGTAGGTACCTACACGATTTTTTTACAATGTCTATTACCAAGAGCTTTTTCACTTGTGTAGTCAAAATATACTTAACTCAAAAATCAAAAATAACCGATGTATCGGATAGTGGCAGATCCAGAGTTGAACTTTGGGTACGACTTTATAAAAAAAATAAGTACGAAAAAAATACTGGAGATGGGTACATCCATACTGTTACAGGTGAGAAATTGATAAGGTAGAATATACAAAGTTATTTAATTTATATCTGTAAGCACCGATAAACCATTACTAATTTATTTAATAAACCCATTTATTGATTGGAGTAAGATTTCTGATAGAAAATTTGTTCACAGACAGAAAAATAATGTAAAATTTAAAATACATTATAGTACAATCAAGATATTCATCAATCATATTGTATAATATTGGATATCAAGATATTCATCGCCTCACTCTATTTTTCTTCCTTGAAAATCTAAAACAATTAATTATTTGTGGAAGTAAAACTTTTGTATAGTCTAGGGGGACGAGCCCCCTGCCTCCGCTCTGGAACAACCAGGTACCGGTCAAAAATGTCAAATAAAGTATCAATATAAATTACGAATAAAATAAGTTTTAAAAATAGATTATATTTTTTAACTCGTTTTGTAATAGTATATCCGAAAGATCTATTCAATTTGCTTTTTCCGGAAATCAAAATTATTTATATTATCCGATGCGCTATACCTACGCGAATGAAGTTAGGAAATATAAACTTTTATTTCACAAAATTGCTTTCACACTCGTGTCGAGGGGCGGACTGAGCCGGCGAGTAAAAACTTTGTGTTATATTTTTGAGTCCAACACTTTTATACACATGAGTACCTAAAAAAATAACGTAAACAACTATCAAAATTAAAATGTCTATAAATAACTCAAAAAGGCTCAAATGTTTTGAAAATTTTACTACGTCTAGAAAAAACAAATAAAACAAAATGTCAAGTCTCTATGAATATTTTTTATTAAATTACATTGGAAAAATAAATTTTAAAATACTAAAAGAATAATTTCGTAAATATTCCCGTTCTTTCTACGTATTTTTCGGCTTTACTCAATTATTAAAAAAAAAGAATTACTTACTCATGAATTAGATTGAAAATTTAAATTCAACAAAAACGATCTTTTGTCGTTTTTCTATTAGAATAATATTTATGGTAGAAAACAAACATTAGCAGTAAAAAATTTAAATATTAAAATCTTTGCGCCGAATTTTGAAAACATTTTTTGGTTTTTCCCAATTATTATGAAAATAACTTGGAAAATCAAATTATGACCTCTCTAATGACAAATTGGATTCATTGGCGTGGCGTGCATAGCAGTTTATGCGTTCACTCTCGGTTATAAAATATTATGGGTAGGTATATTTTTAAATAAACAAGTTAAGCTATAATCAAGTTCTAATGATGTAAAAATATTTATTAGTTTAAAGAGATGGCATATTATAAGCAACTTTTATATTATGTGTTACGCGACCAATCATCACGATGATATCAATAACATGAAGTATACTATTTACTATATCATCAGCGTTGGTACGACCACATTGAAACTCTCATCAGCTATACTCACTCAGTTTGATTCGCATTGACTTCAAACAGTTCAAAGTTTTATTAGTAGCCGATACAATTGAAACCGTTATTATTGCAGAAGTACATTTTCCCGTTTTCTTTTTCAAATTATTAAGAAAACTACAAAGAAATTTAAGAAATTACTACCAAATAGACAAAATTTTCTATTAGAAAAGATTTTCATTATTTATAGACGGATAAATAAACACACATCATGATAAATAGTAAAACGAGTCACGTTACTGAAATTTATGAGTTAAATCTAAAATAATTTCAAGTGCAACAATTTATAATGTACTTGATACTTTTAATGCTATTAAGCGGTTTGTTTTCCAATTTTTTTTTTTTTTTTTTTTGAGAACCGATAATTGGGAATCTAGAAAAATATTACAAATAAAGTACCAGCAGGCGGAAAATTCATTTTTACAACCGAAAATGTGTTTTGTTTAAAACGAATTGTATGATTCATTTATACTTTTCATAGTTCCGAATTAATACTTTTGAATACTTACCTATTAAAATAGGTTTTAGCTATTTGGTTGCGAAAATAATTTTACAACATTATATAATATACAAAAAATACCTCCAATTTTTGTTTGTGATCATTTACTAATTACAAATTTGCAGTAGGTATCACCAGTTTTCTCCTAAAAAAATGTTGGAATTTGACAAGTACTTGTAACAAATATATTCGGTCTATATCCACTATACCTAGTCTATAATTCTATATAACCGTCCAAACCATTATTATACATGTACTCGACAATATATAATTAAGTACCTAGGTGCATATTGTGAAACAATGATGTTTTGCGTTGTGCAGTTTGTCGTAGACAATATTATTTTCAACCATTTATTTGTCTCGTAGATTTCTAATATAAACAATGCAGTACCTACAAGGCGAAGATTCCGAACCCACAGTGACGTAGCAAACCGTGTTTTTCATAAGCATTTGCTTCTGATGGTTTTTTTGGTGGGATTCTTTAAATTATTATCATCTACTCACTTGTCGGTAGGTAGGTATGTTGGGAGATATATGCATACACAATACTCCGAACAGCTTAGATCTGTACATACTATAAATCGCTGGGTTGGGGGGGGAGGGTCATTGATAAATTATGTTTGCTTTTACACAATATTAAATATTTTAAGTCCGCTACGCCACTGGACGGACATGTCCCAGTTATCCGCTATTGTAATAACGGTATAAAGAGTACATGTACTTCGGATGGAAAAATACATTAAGAACGAAGAGGACAAGGATAATGCATGCACAACATAAGTGAGCTAAATACAAATAAAATGTAAAAGTGCAAAAATTAAATAAAAAAAACAACAAAAAACGCATTCGAGTGTGTACGGGTGTTTGTAATTATTATGTATATAGGTATATACGTATATAATATTATTATAATTCTCGTGTCTCTGACATAAATATAATATTTTACAACCAGATCGGTTTTTCGCAACAGAATAATAAAATTTTAGTTGGCTAAACAATATATATAAATATTTACATAGGTGTAGTAGACAAACAAAAAAAATAAATAAAAATTGGATGCAATTTTTGAAACCTGGGTAGGTAGTATTTTTTTCATAAAAAAAAAAAAATAGGTAATAATATTTATTAATAATTTGATATTAAAAATAATAATAAAACACGAGGGGCTGAATACAAATCAACATGCTGATAAAATATAGCAAAACACAACGTATAATAAATAATCAAGGTTGTTGATTTCATATTAATTATTATAATAATATTATGATCATGGTCATCGTTATCAACGTTTTTAAACGTTTTAGTCAACGAGTTCAGAGAACGTTTGGTCAAGATCGTCACAAATGTATTTGTATTTCTCTTTCTCATGTACCAACTCGTCTGCAAAAGAAAACAAAATGGAAATGTTCAAAGCAATACATTGGTGTTTTGTTTTTTTTTTCTCCAAAATCGTTTTAATATATATTCATATATTTTTGTTTACATTATTTTTATTGGTAAAATATATAGCACTTGGGATGACAATAAATATATTATGTAAAAAAAAAAAAATAATAATTAATAATAATAAATAATAATTCGTAAAATAAAAGTTATCGGTGATTATTACGATCTAGTGTTAATGAAATAAATCGTCTGTACAATAAAAGTGAGACGTATAATAAGGTATACCAAGAATATATCAGAATTTGTGATTGTATTTTATTTTATGTATTTTTTTTATCGTTGGTTATTTTGACTAATAACGAAAACAATACAAAGCTTCAAATAAATCACAACAAATACATCGTTTTCCAAAATAGACATTTACAGTTAGACAAAAGTTAGGTTATGGTTTTTTTTTTTTTTTTAATGTTATATAAATAAAAACTAAGCATAAATATAAATAATAATAACGTTTGGATAAAAATAAATTATATTCAACAGACGTGTATCTAAAGTAAAATAAACATTTCAGGGATAGGGTAGCGATGGGTACAAAATTTTGGTCGTTTTTATACAATTTTTTGTACGGGGTAGAAAAGAGTATCGAAAAAACGATCATTACAAGTTTTTAATAAGTTTATATCTCTATGGTAATATTATATTTATTATAAGGTCAACATAGTAGCGTTCCGTACGATTTTCTACAAGCGTAAAACAAAGCCAAAAATAATATTAGAAAATCGGTAAGCTATGAAATACAATACAACGCTATGCAAAAAAAAAAAAAAAAATATATATATAATATAATAATAATAATAATAATATATATGAAATAGATAAAAATAAAATTTAATTTACTATACTGTCTATATAATAGAGTTACGAGTTTTCTGTGTTTAAATAAGTTTAGGTATCGCGTGGACGGTGTTAGTAGCACTGGTAGTAAATATATGTTTGTTTGTTTGTTTTTTTTTTTTTTGTTTGTTTATAGGTATATATTATTATATATTATAGTAAAATCGTATTAAAGAGAGGGAATGTAGCGTGTGTGTGAGTGTGTGTTTGTTGTTCGGAGACAGAGACGACGGGATCGGAGACTACGGAAAATCGCATGTATCGGGATAATAATAATCGGTGTGTAAGTGTGTGTATTTGTGTATTATCGTGTAGTGGTTTTTGTTTAGATGCCATACAAGTCGACAAACGCAAGGTCCAAGCTGTCGCCAATGTCTCTGAATCTCTCCTTTTCGGCGACCAACTCATCTGAAAAGCAAATCGGTTACCGGGTCAGTAACGTCCGCATCGGGGTTGGTTTGCAAAATTTAAAAAAAAAGAACAAAAAGAAAGAATATTTCATATGACGGACAGGACAGAGTCGATATAAAAGAACAGCAGAACCCCAACACCTTGGTGAAACAACAAGTAAGATAGGAGAGAGAAAAATAGAAGGATAATATTGTATTATAAGAAGACATATAGAATGCCCAAATAGTTATCCTGACGAAGGGATTTCTTTTCGGGTTGAATATCGTTTTAGTTTTGATACATTTTATTAGTGTATAAGAATGAAGAAGAAAAATTATAACAATATGTTAATATAGAGAAGAAAAAGAAAGACGTTTTCGCCTCTCCTATAAGGATTATGTAGGGTTAAACATAATATTTTCGGATATTGTACATCAAACCCCCATAGCATTCGTGGAAATACATATTATTATTTATTTTTTTTTAGTTAGTAGGTTCATTTTTATATAGTGAGAAAATTTAACAAAGAACGTCAGTGTATTGCGCACAATATTTCTCTTGTAATAGAACAGATATCTACAATACTACTTATAATACGGTTCGATGCGAGTTGAATTAATGATAATTGAGACTTGAAACGATCAAACGGTTCTTACAAAAAAAACATGACGAAATTATCAAAATTTAAAAAAAAAAAAAAAATAACGGAAAACAGAAATCGTATATAGGTACCTATATTATAGTATTTTAGTAATAGAATATTATATTCTGCGAAATATCGGAGAAATACGACAATTCATGTCCAATTGCGCAAATTTTTTCGTCGTTGAACGGTAATTTATTCTCAAATTCGCCCCCTCTCTCGTACCACCACGTTTCCACCCACAATGCGGCGGTGTATAATAACCGTCAATAAAATGACGGTAAAATAATGTGTATATTATTTCGAAGAAGGTTTTTTTTGGAATTTAATACGATTCTATTGTTTTAAACGTTTCGTGAGCGACGTATATAATATACATATTTGTATAATAGAGTGCAGGAACGCGAATTTTTCTTGCAGTAAAAAAAATAAATATTATTATAACATCGCCTCGGAATAATATGCTGCAACGAAAACGCTGACGGATAAAATATTATAATAATGTTTGTTATACAATACGAAATAAACCGGACGTTTGCGGTGAGCGGTTTATCACACGCTATTAAAATAATTAATTTTTAAAAACCCCATAGACGTTTGTTCGAATGCCATTTTTTTTTTTTTAGTATATTTTGTTTAGGTATAGGTATATAATAATATATACGCGGGTTATTAGTATAAGAGTATGACGGTGTTAAATAATTAGAATATATAATTAATAAATAAGAAAAATGAAAAGAAAAATAATATAATAAAATATGACGATCATGGTGTCGTAACTAGTGACGGGCATTTAACTCGGGTAACAATTTTTTTTGGGTAAATACCGGTAATTTATTTTTAACGCAATATATACAATGTACAGAGCAACAAATTTCATACGAAAACTGCAGTTGATTTTTACTTGTATACTTATAGCCGTAAATCGAATAGATACTTGATAAACAGCAATTAACAAAAATCGGTTAAGACCGGCGGTTTTCAATTGTTTACGAATCTCGAGCCCCTATTATTTTTTTTTATGTTAACACGACCCCTTCAAAAATTATTTAATAAAACTTGTATAATACGATACACGCAGTATACGCGTGATGTTTATGTTCTTTGGAAACCCCCAGGTTGAAAACCACTAAGTTAGACGATTTGAATACCAGTCAAAATAAATATCTTATCCGAAAAATATCTATTTATCTCCATTTTGGGTATTTACCCAAAGCACATCACTAGTCGCAACACAATATTTTGGCACCGGGGAAAATGGAAGTGAATAATTTTTTTTGAGTTTTCGGGCTGCGAGCGGGAATATTGAAAGTCTGTGAAAATCCCCCGTAGTACCCTTTCGAACGTTCTATAAACGCATTTATTACAGAAGAGACGACGCCTTTTTAGTTATCGTTATACTATCGCATATATGTTATACTAACAATAATAACAATTTAAGGCATAATATTTCTATGTTACATAAAAAAACATTTTTTTTTTTTTTTTTTTTTTTTTAAGGCGAATATGTTTCCCGAAAATGGATTTCGGGTGTCCTTTTTCCCCGGCGTCAAAGTGAATATAAATATAATACAATATATTTTGCATTATAATTATAATTAATAGGTATAATAATATTATTAATTAAAAAATGTGTATTGTCGAACCTGTGCAATAACGAAGTTAGTACGGAGTGCGGAAATGTTAAAACAAACATAAAATATAACGAGTGTAAAATAAGTAAGTATATATAAAATAAAAAATTTAAAAAATTGTTTAACAAATTAAATAATAATAATATTAAATTATGTTAGACAATTTGTTTAATGAGGAATGTAGGAAATTTGCTAAGACGGGACGGGGGAAGGAAAACACGGGATGGTATGTTATTTTACATGTTTTGGATGTCGTGCAAGGTGGCTTCCATTTCTTCTTGCAGATGTTTGTTCTTTTCTTTTTCGCCGGCTAAATCGTCTGTGTTGAGTCGGGTCCACAGCAAAACGCACACACGAGCGTCACACATGAAAACAAAACATTTAAACTAACATGCACAAACAAAAAGAATAGAAAAACCAAAAAACAAAAAAGAAAAAAAACAATATCTAAAAACTAGACTAGACTACTCTGCTACCATATTATCAATCATATCATGTTATGTTATAGATAAAGAAAAAATAAATGAAAACACTACGTGCCGAAGAACATAAAAAGAATTAAGGATTAGATATAATATTAATAACTATTGTCAAAATAATAGAATCCGTTGCACGTCAATGAGCAACGGTATCATATTATATGGCAATTGATGATAAGGTTTGCACGCAAACCGTAATATTATACGAGTACGAGTATAATAATGAGTTAATGGCGTTATTCGGTTGTTTTTTTGTTTTTATTAGAAACGCTTTTTTGGCCTTTAGGCAAAACACACAAACACAGTTTAAAAAAAAAATTAGAAAACTGCAATGTTATTTCAAACACGATAAAAAACACATTTTTTTTTTTTTTTTTTAAAGTAAATCCTTATTATTTACCCTGTTGAAAAAAATTGTATTTTCGAGAATTGATTTGTTTAAACGGACAAACATGCCGGGTGATGGTGTGGTAATATATTTATTGCGTAAATATATAAGTGTAACTGAAAGAGCCGCGAAAGGCTATCCGCGGAATTCAAAACTCAAACGTCGTATACTTTTAAGTATACACGACGACGGATGAGACATCGGTGAAAAAACAATCAAAATGTACTCGCGTCAAAGGTATATTTTGTACGCGGTATAACAACGTAATACTATCACTAGCGTCGAGCACAACCGATATAATAGTTGATCGCATTTAAATACTTATCGAATAATAGGTATAGTAGTGTAATAATTGTTCGGTTATGGGAAAAACTGTTCGAATAGTTTATTCAAAATATTCGAACGATTTCCCGGATAAAATTACTCGATAGTTCATCGACAAACTATCGAAAACAATCGACAGTGTAAACTGTTGTTCGGTGTGCCCGTCACTAATGACGCGTGTTTAGATATTGTTGATGTCCTTTTGTAAATGCTTGTACAATATTATTTATCATTATCGTACCGATAAGGTCATCAATTCGATAATATATATAGTTTTATTATAATGATAATGATACGCTAGGGAAACGTAAAACTCACCTTCGAGCCTGTCGACTTCCTTCTGCAATTTCTGCACGGATCTCTCGGCGAACTCAGCGCGAGCTTCAGCCTAGAAGTAGAAAAAAAAAAATCGCGTACCGATTAATTTCTTCGATAAATTATAAACGATAATACTAATAAAAAAAAATAGCAAACATACAACTATTAAATAATATTAAGTGAACGTCATGCGTCATATTGTGTTATAAGAGAACGGTTTTTTTTTTTGTTACAGAAATCGATGTTAACAAAAACAAACAAAATTTTCAAACAGGGTTATGTTATTAAAAAAAAAAAAAAATTAAGTATACCAACTATAATCTAATAACTCGGGCTGTCGTGTTCGACGAGACATTCGAGTATGTTGCGATTTCGTAGAATATTGAAATTTGTATTTATTGTACAAAATAATAAATACTATATACAATTCTATAGGGTTTCACTCCCGTTATTATTCCGTCGGGAGAGGAACGTTCGACGACCCCGCCTAAGGGATTATTATAATATTATATATATATAGTAAAGATGGACGGTTTTTGTAAGAAACGTGATAAGACGAAAATTAAAATTTTTCAAGTGACGTTAAAGAACTAAAAACACCTTTTATAGATTTTTTTTAAAATTTTAATTAAATTGAACATTAAGAATTAGAATTGATCGTTTTTTTCTCCTGATCAGGCGCACGGGGGAAGAGCTGATCCCGAATTTCTTTCGATAACCCTTTCTGTGTTCATTATAATATGCGTCCACCACAACCGTACGCACATTGCTTTAAAATATAGTAAATACGGAAGATTTATACGACAATAATAGGTATAAACATTTGCAATAAAAATTATTATTATTTGTGAGTGTATAATACCTCTTTGAGTTGTGCACCAAGACCTTTTACTTGTTCCTCAAACGTTTCTTCCCTTTGTGTGGCCTATATATTTTTTTTTTACATATACGTGCCGTGTTTGTGTGTGAGTTAAGCGTGTAGTACAAATCAAATTTGTAAAAACAAAACCAAAAAAAAAACAAAACAAAACAAAAATTCAAGTTAGACACAAGTATTATTAAAACAACGCATTAATAAAACTTTGTTATTATTAAGTACACATTTTGTATAATATATAGATACATATATATATATATATGATAATCTCGGGTGATCTGATGCGGTGTAATATATTATAGTTGGAGAGGTGTCACGCTTTTTGTTTAGTTATAATTCAAAACTGTATAATATTATATTAAGATTATAGGTACGATGTTATAAGCTTTTGTACGAAAACATTCGTTTTTAATTTTTCTTAAGCAGGCTAAAATGCAAACACACGCGGCCTGTGAATACTTGTTAAAATATGTTTTGTTCTATAAAATACCTCCTTCAAACGGTTGGTCAAGGTCTTAATTTGATTCTTATATTCTTCTTCACGTTGATTTGCCTGTCCAAAATCACGAGTTAGAATCGATACATAAAATAATATGATCTTTTGTTTTTTTTTTTTTTTTTTAAGACGAACCAAATAAATAATATTTTTAACGTTTAAACGGTATCCTGTCGGGAAATTAGTACTCGTAATAATGATTATATCTTTAAAAAAAATACCTAACCGAATTACCTTTTATCGAAATGCATGTTATACTATATTACGAATATATGCGTATGACCAATGGCTTTTTTTTTTTTTTTAAATTGAATTGTTAACGTTTATTATGCAAAATAAAAGTTAGATGTCTCGGAAGTGTTGTACGATATATTTTTTTTATTAACCGTGTGTTAACGCAAGATACACATTTTTCAGTTGGAAAGATTTAACTTGAGTTGGGATGTTTAGACACTAAAAAATAAATACATATTATGTAAGTATGCACTTTTGCGCCTAAAAAATAGCTAAATATGCATTGAAAAATAAAATATCAATTAAAAATAGAAACTTTTTATTTATAAATATAAATATTTGATGTTTGTAATTTAGACGTTATGAAACCAATTTTTATTCAAGAGTCTACTTAAAAGTTCAATAGAACAATATAAAAAAACGCGCAAAAGCGTAAACATCCCAACCCGACACATCATAACTATGAAATAACCGTCGCACCGTTGTTACTAATAAATAATAAAATATCATGACTCTAGTGACCTAAACTATTGTACGTCATACCTAATATTATCTATTATTTGTTTCGCGAAGGTTTTCGTATGATGTATAAAAAAAAATAATATTAGGTACGAAATAACGAAAGTAAATTTGAAATTTAATATTAATTTAACCGGATTGTATACGTGTACCTTTTCTTCGGAAACTTCCAGAGATTTCAAGTTGTTGCCAACGACGCGTAACTCTTCTTCCAACTCCACGATTTTCCTATATAAGGAAAAATCATTTCCACACGATTAATAATAATACTATTATCAGCCACGTAGGCTCGTCGAATTATTTGTCTACTTTTCCTAAAAATATCTACTCAATCCTATAAGAGTTCGTCGTTTTTACATTATACACGAATTGTATTAAAAAATATATAAACCCTTGTTGATACGAGTAGATATTTTTACGATATTATAATAAGATTGGTAATTTTTGATTGCGATGAAAAGCCAAACGGACGCAACACACACTACTTTTAAACAAAGCGAAAATACAACAATAGTTACGTACGCGTTGTACATAATAATTACAATATCTTTGGTCACAGGGAAGAAAGGCTTAGGTAAATTGTTTGCATTTTTTTTTTTATTTATAATATTATATCTTGTGAAATTAGTTCCCCTTTATGTTTCGATAAATGGAACAAGTGTTTTGTAGTATAATATATTCAAATACGCGTTGTGCTTTAAATTTAAAATAACTCAAATCTGGCGATGTACTTTTTGTTTGGAAAAAAGTGTACGTCATAATTATATGGATTGAGTCGTTTAAATCGCTATATTTAGGTTAAGCCAATTATTAATTTGGCCATTTAACAGTTGTGCCACTTAGTAATTTTCAACATTTAATTTGATTTTATTGAAAATTATACAAAATCGACTCAAACCCTTTCCATTCCGAGACCAAAGATATATTATTATACAATTGCTTCTTGACACTTACCAAAAACACGGTCATCTGATTACAACTGTATATTAGGTTTAACTGAATAAGATAAAAGAGTGATGTGATATCCGAAATAGAAAAATATAAAATATACAGGTATTATAAGGTATGAATTTCGAAATTTATTTTGGAACTACGTGATTTTTCTGTCTTTTTTTTGTTGTTGTGGTTGTTTTAACGACTTAAAATACTCACGCGTCGCTGTGTTCAGCTCTTTCTTCTGCTCTTTCCAAGTCTTGTTCCATCATAACCAATTTACGGCCGACCTAATATGGCAATTGACATAGAAAAAAAGAAAAAAAAACGATAACAAAATTTCATGCAAAACTCAACTAATATAAAAAACAAATAATACAATGAGGAAAACGGAAAACGTTTGTCTTTTAGGACAGAACGCATAAAGATTATGGCGTAGGACGTGTTGTTGGACAAATAAAACCGGACGGAGAAAAAGAAAAACACAAAAAACACAAACCAAAAAAAAAAAAAAACGATTAAATAAAAAAAAAAAATCAAAACCAAACTGCCGATACAAAATATGGAACTAAAGCTTCAATTGTGCATGACAAATTGAAAATATTAATTAAAGTATACGCGTATAATATTAAAGCCCAAAAGTGTAATAACTAAATGAAAATAATATCGGTATGCGCGCAACAATCTCGTTGTTCTGTTTCAAAGCGTATAAAACTCTGCAGTCAGCGGAAAGCAACGAAAAATCGCAATCATAAAATTGTTCCAACGATTTTCTCGAGCATTTTTTACGTATACTCGTCTCGCAATGTGAAAATATATTATCATTGGTCTATTTCTTACGATTCGCCAGACTCGGCACGTTCCTCGGCTCTTTCCAAATCGGCTTCAACCATGGCCAGCTTACGCGCTACCTAATTGTAATAATTTTACCCAGGAAAAAAAAAACAAAAAAAAAATATACCGTTTAGAAATATTTCTAGCAATAAGTACCAATAAAACAATAATATAATAGTATAGGTGTATAAAACAACACAACAGGTATTAATAACGCACACGCCCCGATCGTAGTGTATAAAGAACATAATATGAGATACAGTATATAGCACGGGTAAACTTCGCCAAAGGTTTTTTTTTTTTTTTTTTACCGGAACCGACGATAATAAAACGGTTATCTTATTTATACCGTTTAAAACCATACGACGATAAAGGAGCGGATATACGACAATATACGTACTAATGTCAAGAGAGACGGCGCCCCGGAATGGCGGCCAACTGAGGCGAATTATCGTCGATAATAATTATTGCATAGTACGTTTCTAAGCGCCGTAAAAATCGCCCCAGTTTCTCATCATTCGAGAAAAAAACAAAAGTTTTAGGCCAATGGTAACCAACCTTTTTTTACAGAGGGCCATAAAAAAAAAAAAAAAATAATTCTTAACGGGCCAAGAACTCAAGCGTTTACTTTTAATAGAATAGAATATTGTATTTTACTGTTGCGGGTACGTCTTAATATAGGTACAGTGATATATTTAACTATCCACTATGTATTGATTGTTATAAATGAGAAAAAATTGTCAAGTATAAACAAATGTTTTTTTTTTAACGCGAGTGTTAATTTTCGACATTTAAAGTTATTTTCTTTTTTCAATTTCCATTTAATACATTGGCGGGCCGATTAATAAATGATCGCGGGCCGTAGTTGGTTACCACTGTTTCAGGCGACGGCCTATCCGTTCCTTTATTGTCTATATACGGTCAATACCCGTACAGGCGTTACGGACAATAATTTGTCGTTTGTTCCGCGATCGCGGTTTTTAAAATGGCCGCCGTCGACGAACGAGAATTTTCCTCGCGGCCTCGGATCAATTTCCCCATATACTGTGTACGCGTTCTTTAAAACCTGCGCTACGATCGTACGAACGAAATAATGTTAATTGTTTTTTTTTCCTTTTCAATATAATCGCGTGTAATATTGCATTATCAACGCGATATAACACGTTATTTTCGTGATTATTGATTAGGAACGACAATGATGTTAAATATAAAATATAATCTACGTCCATTATTATTGTTACGTTATACGAATACCAAAACGGCTGTTAGATTTCAACGTGTTATGCGAGAGAGTGTCGACGCAACAAAAAACGATGGGCTGCACAAACAATGGGTCGCAATGCGCATACAATATCGCTTCGATTACGTCTGTATCGAATCCGAGCTGTGTTCATTTCAGACCCGGTGTCCGGGGTGGAGAAGGGCGTCTGAGGTTTTCGGAGGATATAATATGCAATCGATTTTTTTTTTTTTTTTTTATTGATATTCGACGCCGTGTTTTCGCTTTGTTTTATCGAAATTCATTTTCATTCGTCACAAATGAGGGGGTAACCATTTTACGCTCCCTCTGCACCTCGGCAACCGTTTGAAATAAAACATATAATTCGTACAATATAACATACTTGCACTACTCGACATCAAAATATTACATCTAACTTACAACTACAGTATTGTATTAGATAATATTACACAATCGATCACCAGCCGCGAATACAAAAGTAGATTTCGTTTCACACATATTTTATTTTGACAAACAGATTGTATACTAATTATATGTTGAGTATATTATACTTACATTAATTACACACGATAGATAGAGAGAAAACAAACAAATTTTACAATTTTTTTTTTTCTGTCAAAATTAAAAATTATTTAATTATAACAATATGTAATAACTTATTAGGTAGTTTACTTAATTTTTAATACGCTGTAATTAACGGGAAATATATTTTCGAAATTCCAGAACGAATTTCAACCCCATGAGTAAAGCACCGGGTACGAAGAACGAATATTATAGCCGAATTTACGATACATCAAAACAATATTGGTCGTACACAATCGACCGGATATAGGACAGTAGTGGATTTTATACAGGTTTTTTTTTTTTTTTTTTTTATATATATATATGAGGGCGAATTTCAAATCACGAGGTTCAACCAGCCCCGTTATCCGTGTTGGAAATACATTATATAGTCAGCGCGGAAAATAATATGCAAATGTTGGCGGTTTCAATCGAAAAAATTGTCCATCATATAATACAATCTCTAAATCGAACATTTCCGAACGCGTTCTTGATCAAATCCTCACCAATTCCCAACAATTTACGAACAACAGTTTATATTTCATATTGAATTTAAAATATTTGTACGTATACCGAAATATTATAGACCTCCGTATAACATTTACAAATGTCGGTCAACGGTGTGTACGTAAACTAATAAACAACGATGAAGACCCCGGCCCGAAAAAAAAAAAAAAATCCCCCGCTTTTCCGTACAAATTGATCGAGATTAAACACTACCGCAGCGTTCGCACCGTATTAGGTACTATAATAATATGATATTATTATGTTGTACGAGAAATAAAAACTGTTGGTCGGAGAGTGTTCCGCGACACGATTCGAGAGTATATTATTATCGGACATTCGATATTGTCAATCCGATCGACGAGACGCGTTTCGATAATCCAAACGAACGCGCACATCACGTTTGGAGGGGGAAAGGGGGGAAATGGCTTCAGCTCGGCGTAATAATTAGTGAAATACCGCCGAGCGTTTAAATATCGATCGATATACAACGGGTATCTGTTACCGCAGAGGGAAACCTGTGTGTGTGTGTGCGGAAGGATGTTTTTCGTTTGTTTGGTTTTGTTTTTTTTTTTTTTAACGAATAAATTATTTCCACCGAAACAGCCTGTGCCCAATCAACGATCGTAATATACGTAATGTTCAACACGCGAAAACTACCGACGTAATTATGACTGACGTCCGCCGGACCTAAAACAACGAACGATTCTCTCGCGTTCCGTTCCGGTCAGAAAACAATGTTCGCATAAATGAGCCGTATTATATATTTTAATTAAAACAGACGGCCCAAAAGAAAGAAAGGAAAAAAATCTGCCAAGGACGCGAAAAAACGTGTCAAGTGCCACGAAGAAAAAGACAGTAGCGGCGGCAGTTTGTTTGTTTGGTTTCATTATTATTTTTTTTTTTTTTGTTACGCTTTTAGTCGGGTGTGTTATGCAAAAAGACGACCGATAGGCTATAGCCCCTAAACTTGGGAGAAAAAATCGAATGATCAAAAAAGAATATTTAGTATTTTTCTGTACAAAAATATTACCCGAGTGTAAATGGCTTTTGAGTCTCGTCAAAGTTTTTTGGCTCGTATTTTTTTTATCGTTAGTAAAATTTTCACCGAAAATAGAGAATATTGCAGCCTACTATATTCCCTATACGTAATTAGTTAAATTACCCGATATTTTCCGGGCTCATCTGAAAAAACCGACAAGTCTTACATATCAAATTGAAAATCTTTCTGTTTAACGTGTCCCCCCGTTCCCACACTCGCAGTAAATCGTTATTGCCCAGTAATTCGCCTTTTACAACCAGATTGTACCATCTACAAGATAACCCGAAAATCGACCAATAAATTCAATTTGTAATGTTCAAATATGAGTCACCCTTTAAGAGGTTTAATTCTTAGATATAATGTAGACAGCGACCTTCCACTTTTGGTGTGAATGTAGAGTTTACAAAATGTCATTTAGATTTGAATAAAACTGTAAAATTATATTATAGCGGCCAAACAGACAGAATTTTAATTGCATATATAACAAGATATATCATTGGTTGTGGGGAAAAAAGACTTAAGTTAACTTTGTATAGTTTTCAATATAAGCAAATTTAATTTTGAAAATACATACACTTGTACGTTAACTCATTTAATAATACACTATTTGAACTCGTTTTGAAAATACAAAAATATATGCAATTTAGATCAGAAAATAATGTGAGAAAGTTAAAATAGATATATAATAAAACAAAAATTCCAAAAATTGACTTTAACCCTTCTTGCCTGGAGACTAAAAAGGGCCGGATATAGCATAAATGCCACGTGGCCATTCAGATACCATAGGCCTTCACCAATATGCGACCATAAGTTCAAATATTTTTTTTGGTTTAAAATCTGGACCTGCCCGTCACTGAAGATAAATATTACGTATCTTTATTCTGGTACTTTTGCACACTTTTAACGGCTCGCCCTCTGGACCTAACGATATTAAACTCGAGTTTTATAACCGGATATTAATATTAGCCATTGAATTTTATAATGATGAAAGTCGAATCAAGTTTCACACATTTTTGGGGAAGAAGAGTGTTTATTTAGCTTTGAACACCACTATGGACTCTCCCTAATGAAGCCGAAAGGATAACATTTTGTATGGGTATAGCGTTAGTATCAACGATACGCTTTTTTGGAGTTTTGACTTTAAACCGCTACCACCACTGTCGTTTATGTATTTAAATTTCATCATTAGAAGTGGAATGTAATAATAGAAGTTATGTATCGTAAATGAACGAAGTTTTTTGTCGTTGTTATTCGTACGACAATACTATTTCAATAATAATAACACGACCGGCGTATTTGACAAGATCGTTTCAAACCGGCAGGTGTTCAAAAACCGCCAGATAACGAAAATATCGCTTGTTTTGTACCGAATTCGGTGTGTAGGAAATGATGAACGACGACGAGTTGTCCGAGTATCACTATTTTATCTTTCTTAACGTTTAGTGTTTGATCGTATAAGGAAAACAAGTGTGGAAAAAAAAATTGTTCGAAAATGTACACGGGTTGGTTATTGATATGAAAAAAGATCGGGAGCGAGTAAAAAAAAAAAAAAAATATATTAAAAAAGGCAGTCGGTTTAGTTTTATAATGTACCAAAGTATTTTTAGGCGGACGATGATATGGGCGGCGGATACATAACGATTGAAAATAATATTACGAGATTCGGCCGACGGCGTGTTATTTTCCCCCCGAATTTTTGTGCCGCCGAGATTATAGACGTCCAAGAAAAAAAAATGGTCGTCGCGCCGACGGAATTTTCGTATGCGTGGGGGCGGGCTTCGAAACCGGTTAATTTTATTATTTTTTTTTTTTTTTGTTAATCATTTTCCGGTTCGTGTATTAAATATCTCGTTACACAATTAAAATATTGTCGACGAAAAACGCGCACACGTAAAATCGGGCGACAACGTCACCGTTGAGTGTCGTGCCCGCGTACCTACCGACGAAAAATGTTGTCCAGCCGCAGTCACGGTAACCGCCATTAACATTGTTGTTTTCCCCCCGCTCGCGTGCGAAACGACGGGTACGGTACCCCCCCGGACGGACCGGATTCTCGAAAACTGACGACTGATCACGCGCGCGCCGCACGGCACGCTCGACGACGTCTCATTCGTCCCCGTACGGATGCGCGTTTTGCGACCGGCCTGAATGGTATTGCCGTTTTAAACACGGCACACCTACTAATCGTCGATTCCCGGGTGTTCCGATTTCGGGGGGGGGCGAGGGGGGAGGGAACAATTGAGAAAATAACGGACGCAAAAGCGTGACGCGGAAAAAGTTTACGGGAGGCCCGAGAATTATTGAACGATATTACGATACACGCTCGTGTGTTACGCCATAATATCCGATACGGAAGGCTCGGATAAATGCATACGTTTGAGAAGAGAAAACAGAACAGACCAATGAAGTCTGTCCGCTCTCGAAAATTCGACAAAACACAGAAATGTACGACGAAATACAGGTATGTTTATTGTTTTTTTTTTTTTTCCGGTACGCCGCCGCAAAAGACTACGATAATAAACGACGTGGAATTGCGTATTCCGCGGGAAATATTGTCGTTTACTTATAACCCGGCCGCGAGTTATGAAATTATAATAATATGTCCACGTCGCGGGAACAACGTCGAAAACGGAGTCCGGTAAAAAATCGCAATAATTCGCACATTTTTTCGATTGTTTAGGCGCGCTAACGATTCTCGTCCAGTTTTTGGCGATCGGACTTTTAAAGCAAACGAATGTTAAATTCTCGTCGGAATTTTGTCTGAATTTATTTTGAAAAAAATGCACCCAGTCAGCGGCGGAGCTCTGTCACTAGCCAAATTTCCCTCCGCCACACTACAACTATACTTCCAAAAAAAATGGTGAAACTCGATAGTACAAATATTAGGCGCGGGGGTAAAAAGTTGAAACCCCCAAAACACACGTTCTCGGTACTCATTCGGGGAGTGTATACGGGTGCTCAAAAAAAAATCCACTCTCTCTGGGTTCTCCTCGCAACAACATGCAGGTGAAATGAGATCGGACTCGTTTATAACTTCAAAAATGCCTAAAACGACAATTTAATTTCTGAGTTCGAGTTCATTTGGAGAGCCGCTAAAAGTACATATCCAAAAGTAACAGGAAAAAGATAAATGTCCGTTATATACATTCGCGGTTCTAGCGTACGGGCAGGGTGGGCAGCTGCCCAACCAAACATTTTATTGTTAAAGTATTAAAAAGTTTAATGTCGTGTCGTTTTGAATATTTTTTTAGCGAGTCAACTACTAATTTTGCATGCGTGTTCATTTTTTTTTGGGTGTCAACTTTTCTACCAGAAATCTTGCTTCTTGCTCCGATGTATCGAATGCAGCATTTTTCTGAAGTTTTATCTAGTTGATGCGTCAGGGAGGTCATTTATTAATTTACCAAGAAGTTTTTATAATAATTGGAAAAATCGGAAAAAAAATTATCAGAAAAGCGGATATGAAAACGAAATTGGTATTACGTTAAAACGTACAACAAAAAACCCGTAATTTTTTTTTTCGAAGAAATATCTTGAAAAAGATCGATATTATAGAAAAATCTTAAGAACGGCGTAAAAATCGTATTTTATTAGTAAACGCGTTACTATATTGACGGTTAACGTTCGCGTTCGTTGTTAACGCGAAAAACCATCGGGAATACAGGAAGACTTGAAATGCGTATACTTTTTATTTTTCATTATCAAATCCGATTAAACTCGTTTTCATAATATGTGATAGTATTTTTATTTTTCAGAGTACCTATCTACCACCACAATGGGCAATATTTTGTTTTAACAACCAAATATCCTTCGGTGAATAAACGAACATTGCTATTTTACTACTATTAATTACTCAAAAATAACGCGTTTTGTTAAATATTTTACCATGTAAAAGTATTGTCTAAAGAAAAAATGATTTTTTTTTCACCCAAAAAGGAAGAACCGAATACAAAACTAATGATGTTAGGCACGTAAATAGGCTTTAAAATCAGCGTCCGATTTAAAAAATATTCAAACAGTTTATAAAAAATTGATCTAAAATATAGTGGAAAACAATTAATAAAAAGGAATATGTTTAGCGAAATTTTCTCGTACAGTAACCCCAAGGAAACTTGTAGAAAATACTGACAGCGAAAATATCGTTAAAAATTCAAGTACGGTCAATTGAAATCGAATAGAAACCGGAATCTATTTGGGTTTTTTTTTCGTATTTCACTGGGAAAAAAGATTGCGATAAACCCTAAGACGTTGGATCCGGATCTGGGAAAAGATAAGTTAAATGAAATGAATTACTGTACGCAATACGAATATAGTTCGAGCTACAAGAAACCGTTAAACACCACTATGAATTTGTTGGCCAAAGAACCTTAAGCAAACCATTTAATTTTGGTAGTTTTGATTTTTAACCAACACCACACTATCCATTAGTAATGAATCGAAACACTCGTCCGCCAGTGCGTTAACTATAACTGTTTTGACAGTTGTAAGAATTTTGTCACATAGTCAAAATTGCCATTGATCTATACATAATGTTACACGAGTGTTTTAGAGTCGACATGATTTATACGGTTTTAGAAAACAGTATAATAACATAATATAGGTAATACAAACAAAATATAATTTAAAACAGAAATACTGATTTTTATTCGGTTACAAAAGACAAATAAAATATCAAACAACCACTCAAAAATATTAGATATGTACCAAATTGAAAATAACCCGTTTGTTTTTCAGTAGGTAATAAACTTACTAAAATTACTATAATATTACAATTTCTAATAGTATTATTATTATTATCGTTACAAATCATACAATCTGTTTGTTATAAATAAAAACATAATATTTTATTTAATAAATATAACACGTTAAATATAATATATGTAATTTATATGTATTATATACAGTAGATACCATTTATAATGACACAGATTGTGGTGACATATGTGGTGTAATGAACTTAGATTGAAAGTCCCGGAAAAACGCATGTATTGTTATAAGTACTAATTTGTTTCGAATTATTAAGATGTCTGTACGATGACTATACACACGGTTATTTTTGGTTATATTAAAAAAAAAAATCTGTTATCTATAATTACTGTATTAAACTTTTATTGAATGTAATTTTTTTTTTTTTACTACAATGTAAATTTAATTTTTAATAATAAAATAACTTTTTAATTTTATTTTATTATCTTGATTACAATGGCAATCAGTTATTGTGACTAATTTTAACTAATCCCTTGAATGTCATTATAAACAGTTTCTACTGTATGAATATTATATATAGGTAAATATTACACGGTGGTGATACAATTTCTTCATACAAAATGATTTTAACCGCTTATTATAATAATATATTTCGCTATTTTTGAATTGAATAACCTTCAACATAAATTGTATATTAAAGCATATAAAGATATAATATAATAAAATCGTAAATACATGATATTATTTATCTTATATTAGATATTTTATTATTTTTGTTGAATTCCATAACAAAATGTACATTAAAACATACAAAATCAAAAATTAGACACTTCGAGATGGTAATATAATAATTTTGCATTAGTACATTCTATACTATTTAAAAACATAACAGACAAAAAAAAACCGACCAGACAACAGTATTATTATTAACGCAATGAAATTTATAAATTTAATAATATTTTAATTATAAAAAAATTCGATATTATTACCATTATGCTCGGATTCGATATAAAAATAAAGTATATTATATCTCATTTAGACGGATCAATAAAACATCCTTAAATTTTATAAAGCATTTAAAAACAGGTTTAAACTCGCACAAAAAAAAAAAAAAATATTGGTTGTGCATGCTCGCCAACAAATATCACAAAAATAAAAGTACCGCCAGCAAAAACAATAATGATTTTGTTTCACCGACGTTCTTTAACAAGTTGTTAGTATAAAAAAACATTTTCCATTTCTTTCATTTTTTCGCATAGGATCACTATGAGTGTACACGGTGTGTAACATTATATTGTGTATTACTTCAACTGTGCATAACTGACAGTTTCAAAAATTATTATTTGTTAGTAAAATAATTTAAGTGAGATAACGATTTAATAGTGTTAGTAACACACTGTCGTTCACCTCATCATATTTCTTATCGGCTTCTTCAGCCAAGAATCGGGCTTCCTTAAGTTGGTTCTCCAAAGCATCCATACGTTCCTCATCGGCCAAACTGCGGTTTTCCAACACCTTACGAGCACTATATAAATCCCAACCAATACAATAATAATAAGTTACTCCCTCATCATTTTCCGTTCAAATTACGCCTAACATTTAATTTTTTATGTATATACATTGTATATACACACACCTTAGTAATCTCTATGTAATAATATTATAAGTAGCTCTTAACAAATATCAACTTCAATATTTCCCTAACCTTATAAATAAACCATACCTACAGAATATACCGTGTAGCCACGTCGTGTTTTTGTGCTTATCAGGAGGAATATTAGGATTTGGTTGCAAATACAATATTTGAAATCATTAACACACAATATTACAGAAAAATAAACACAATATGTTATTTTACCTCCTCATATTTTTTGTCAGCCTCCTCGGCAATGAGTTTGGCTTGTGCCAATTGAGCTTCGAGAATGGCTACTCGGTCATCCTCCATATTTGTTCGGTTTTCCAATGCTTTTCGGATCCTTTTAATTTACAAACAACACATCAAACGGATGCACACACAGAGTTATGGTTTTAGTTGGTAGGCATACATATTATTAAATTCAAACTAATATTTTTTGCTTGGAAATAAGTTAGTACCTAAAGTAATATTTATTTATTTATTTATTTTTTTTTTTTTTGACACCTATTACTGGTTTTATATAAATTATTACTATCATTATCTATTTTAAACTCAATCAATAATTTAATAGTAAATGTTCATTTATAAGAGTATAGAAACTGATAAATGTATTGATTCAGTGAATTAAGGTTTTTCTGTTTTCACAATTTATATCTTATGAATTATTTATAATAATTGTATTTTGGTGCAATATCATAAAATAAGCTATAATAATTGCAAAATAATTATTTCTCCCTGGCCAGTCAACGAACAAAACTTGTATAATTTGAATAAGCATAAGAGTTAAGCAACTCAAAAATTAAATTAGTTTACAATAATATATAAATGGCCAATACCAACAAATTAATAGAGTATAAATTAATGCACAATCAAATTTCTATGAAATAATTAAAACCTACCAACAAATTAATGTGGGTATGCACTATAAAATTTGTATTAAAAATACATTTAAAATCAGAAAGTTTAACAACTAATAATCCAAATCATCAAAAATATCATGCATGATGTAGTATTAATTAGAATTAGAAAATATGTTAAGGTTATTTTAAACACATTGGTACATTATAGAAATTAGTAATAGAAAATACACAAGAAATACATATTGAGATTGCATTACATTTTGTGTGGTGTGTTTAAATATTTGTTTCTAAATGGCTAACATAAAAATTCAAATCAACAGAAAAATTCAGAAATTTAATATAAAAATACATAGATAGAAAATTACATATGCATAAGTTTAACTACCTAATATTCTTTATATTCTTTTATAAAGTTGAGTTATAAAGAATAGTAAGACATTGTTTTGCTTTGAAGCATTGAATGAATATTGTTTAAAATAATTATGCATAAGAATTTATTGAGGTTAGTTATTTAGTGTCATAAACAATTGAGCACATTAACAACCGTTAATGTATATGTTACACACAATATATTAGTCAGATAGATATTGCAAACTTACCTACCAGATATAATAGATGACATAAAATACTTTCAATATAAGATAATGTGAATATAATGGTTTCTATTATATTCAACAAACCAATTTATGTAATTTTTTAATTTGCTTATACATAAACATTATAATATTAGATACTATGTTCTTTATTTAGTAACAGACTTAGAACCTTTTCATTTAAAAGGAAAAAGGTTTAATTTGAATCTCATCAAATTATATTGATCCACCAATATTATACGAGTACATTTATAAAATGTACACTATTTTTCATTTATTTGAATCATGTAGGAACTACTAATTTATCATAGTTATTATGTTGAGATCAAAATACAAAAAATATAGGTAATCTAGAATAAAATTTGTATGAGCCCTAGAATCCTGAAAATACTAAAACCTTTGACAGATGTTTAACACACACTTACCGTTCAGACTCATCAGCAGCTTGAGATGCCTCGGCCAACTTAGCAGTGGCCGTGGCCAAGCGCTCTTCAGACCTTTCGAGGTCCTCTTCCAACAATTGGATACGTCTATTGAGTGCAGCAACTTCACTCTCAGCCTAAAAACAAAAAAATAATGTAAAAACATTTTGTAGGTATAAAAAATTATAGGGGTAATTCTGGGGATTATCATTAATAATAGAATTTTGTTGGATCTATATAAGTATACCTATTTTATACAGAATCATTTTTGTGAACAATGATAGGTACACCTATATTATATATATTTATATATCATATATCACACAGGTATATATAGGCAGGTGTAAAATACCAAATTAACAGGAAACCCAACCTAGGCCGTAACTTCCTGAATTCACAGTAGGCAGTTTATTATATTTAACATACGTGAAACCCATTGTTGGGAGATAAATTATTTCATCACGCCTCTTCGTCCCAGATATAACCTTGAATGATCAGCTTAATTTTAAGTATATATAGCTAACTGTTCAATCATTGACTCCAATTTTTGTGCTTATGTAATATAATAGATGTATTTACCGAATGACATTCAATTTTCACTCGAAAATAACTAACTTTATATTTGTTTGAGACGTAAATAATATTTATAATCAATTAATAAAAATTAATTGATTATAAATACTATTAGATATGCAATTAGCATAAATAAAACCAATGCACTCATTAAATTTTGATATTATTTAATCAATTATATCATAATTCTAATGATAATAATGATAGATATGATCACTACAAATACAAAAATACCATACAATGATAAGATATAAGACTAATAAGATCAGCGTCACAAGCTGAAATTCTTTTTAAACAATAATAATTTAAATAATCAATAAAACATTCAACACTAATTTATAAACAATTATATTTGTCTCAAATAATAGATGGAAATAAAGAGTTCCATGTATTATCTTCAAAAATAATTATTATTATCTGATTATTAGTATACTATTATGGTTAGTTATCGCAAATTGCTGGATTTAATCAGAATTTCATAAGATGACTAATGTCGATTCAATTTTAACTAGAAAACTACATTTATTTAAGCGTTTAAATATTTTAATATAAATAAGATGATAGTAACAATGAAAATAAAATCTTTTCATAGTTTTTAATAAAAAAAAATGAGTACATATATCATGTATCAGAGAAACAAAAGCATATTATACAAACTTTTGAAGATAATCAATCTATTTAGTAATTAATTGAACAATAAAACAATATTTTCAACATTTCTAGGAAAAGCAGCTGTTTAACTTTTACATGTATAGATACATACAATTTTATTCGGTTTTTCTAATAGAAACTAAACTTTAGTAAATGTGTTGAGTAATGAAAAATGTTTAAATTTCAAGAAGATAGTACCTACTCTACCTAAATGAAGTATTAGATAAATGTAATCAATTAACAAAACAAATAAATTGCATGAATAATTTTCTATGAAAAAGGGTAGGTAGGTGTCTATCCATAATTATTACAATAAAATCAAATTCTTTGACAATATTTATCCAAAACACCAAAGCAAATGAACATACCTGCCTATCTCTTTTAAAGGTTTGGCTTTAAATAAATAATATTATTATATGGCTGATATTTATTGGTACAATAAATAAAATTAGTATGTATCTAAGTCATTTGTGGAACAAAAAATTGCATATAAACTGCAAAGTTTTAGGTGAGGTTTTAGGTTTTTAAAGATAAACACAGTTCTCAACAATTATATAGGTACTCTGTTTGATCAAGTTTAGATAAACACAGATTGAAATGGTAATGCCTACATCTGATAATACCAGAGAGTAAATCATTAACGGGAATCAGTGTACACATATTTGGAAATGGTGGAAATCTTCGGTAATCTAATAAAAAAAATCATGGGAAATAATGGGAGAATCTTGGTATTCTGTAATCCGTCATACACACTATTGATTAATGATTAACCACCTGAATAATACCCGATAAAATTCTGTTGCCACATAGGTACTTATAGATTGTTTTGTTAGAAAATTAGTGTCAAAATAAACAAACAATACCCATAACAAATTGCTAACCAAAATTATGAATTGATAAAAAAAAAAATTTCAAATAAAGATAGGATTTAATAAGTAAATAGGTGGTTGTATTTAAAAAGTAAACTAGATACAATTTTATATTATTTGAACATACGGGTTAAGTGCCCACTTTACGTCAAATGTAAGACAGAATAATACCCAAGATTCTCTGTACGGCTGTGCCACCCACTCGTATCAATGAGTCATTCGAGACACGCAGAAAAAAACGCGATTCGTTTCGACGATGAGCCGTTGACACGCGTTAATATATTATTACAGTCGAAACCTGCCTACGCGGTGCGGGCGCCCACAAAAAGTCCGGACGGCTGCCCGAATAAACCACGGAGACGGCGACGACGTACAGCCCCTCGACCGTCGCGATGGTCCGAGCGTTTAATGGTATTTACCCACCCGGATGGATACACTAATCGTGTTATTTGTTATTATTATTAAAGATCAGCGAAACGCAACACGTACTTCCTCGCGTCTCATGACCTCCATCTGGAGTTTTTTATGGAAATCCTCGCATTCTTCCTTATACCTCTCCATCTCCTCCTTGGTCTGACGCATTTTTTTCTTCAACACGTCTAACAACGAGCCCTGCTGTATGGTGGTCATGATTGACTCCCCGCGCGTATGTACGGGTCTCGCGTCGCCGAAAAACGCGCGCGCGAAAGCACAAACACTAACGACGATACGTCGGGCGCAAACTACACGCGGCGCGCCTACGAGGGTGAACGGCGGAAATCGGGAAAATCGGAAACACGGTCGGGAAGAGAATAAAAAGCCGGTCGCAAACAACGGGAATGACGTACGGTAACGGGCGGCGCGCACAAACAACTAACACTTATAATGTGCAACGGCCGACGAATAGCGACGGCAACGACCAGGAGTTTACGTTGGTTACGTGCAGCGTTCGGTTACGGGACGCACTGCAGAAGCCACACACACCACACCACTATATTACAGCCTGCCGCAGCAACCAACCGAACTAACCAACCAGTAACCCAACTATATATTATACACAATAATAGCCGGTTCGTCGGACGAACACAATACTCGCTCGTTCACACGCACTAACAATCAGACTCGCACACGCACTCGCACACGTACCACGGGTCATACACGGCGCGCGCGCGCGCGCGCGAGCAATCGCGTTCCCTGCCCGCCCGCACCGCCGGTACTCGAAAGGTGACGGCCGGCGGTGGCGCGGCGTCGTCAGGGCGGTGGCCTTGCGGGCGACGTTGCCGGTTTTCGCCGTGTCGGGGCGGGGCGGCGGCGACGGTGGTGATAATTTTGTTCGTATTTGGCGTTGACCGGCCGGCGCAAAAATATTTCAAACTGGTTGAGCCGGACGAACGCGTGCGTGCGCGCGTGTGCGCGCAAGCTGCGAGACCGTCTCCGGCGACGGCTTTTCCCCTAACCTCTCTCACCGGTATTGACATCACTCGTCATCATCGTCTCGCTTTATTTCCCGAAACGCTCTCCCGCGCCTGCCCGCGGCGCTACAGCTCTCGCGTCCCGAAATGGGGCGAAAAAAATAACCGGGAGGTCTCGGAGAAATTTTAATGAATATTGTTGGCGCACGACGATATTCGCAAACACGTTGCGCAACCCGGCCGTTTACGTACCGCCGGACCGTGTTCGTCTTAAGGGCCGTGTGCTACTGACACGCGTGTGACGAAAGTTTCGTCGCCAAATACGGGACGGACACGATCGCCGGTGTCCCGGTTCCGTCGACCGCGAGTCGTGCCCCGACCGTCGGTTTCGAAACGCACGCCTTAACGCAAAAACGCGTCATCGACGACACCGAGAAATAATAATTAACGAGTGACGACGGTCACAAAAAAAACAGCGGCGCCCCGTTACAAATATTACAACCCCCCGTTGTAATGGTAATTGAATTCACCGGAAATGGCGGTGAATTTTTAAAAAATACAAAACGGCCATTGAGTATTATCGAATGGAAAACTATGCTATGCTGTTATTATTTTTGTTGAAATAATCGTAACGAGCTTCGCAGCAGTGCGATAGGATGGACCACTGTGTACGGCCCGCGTGCGCAGAAACACTGAATAACGATCGCAAAACATTGAACGCGTCCGTTTACCTATATACCCACCCGATAATTCAAACGCGATCGGAAACCGTATACATTATTTTGAAATATGCTTGAAAGCACTAAGTTTTACATTTGTAAATAATATGATATAAATCGGAGCAGGGAGCTTCCGCTGTTCCGCCGGAAAAAAACCAGACCACCGAGTCATAAAAAACAAAGTACGCGTAATTTGTTTTTAATCAATATCGTGGGCGGCTCAAGCCCCTCCCCGAATAGCAGAGCTACAACATTAATTAAGAAAATATGCTTATGGTTAATATTATTTATTATTTTTTTTTTTCCTATCCTTTACGAATCGTTACCGAGTATAAACCGCCGACGATTACGTACATGGCACGAATGCAAATTTTTTAATGGTTTCGACTCGTATAATATCAAAAGTATAATTATTGCCATAATCGAAACTGTTTATACTAACGGACCGGTCGATTAGACGAAATTCTCGCGGTGACTGCCGAATAATACGTCGACTATTTGTGTGAGGTCATTTTTTTAAATACACATTATTGCCGTCTCTGCGCGGCGGAAACAACGTCTGAAGTATAACAACGCCGTATCACCGCAGAATACACGGGGGTACAGTTATTCTATATTGGTTCGTTGCCGTTGTCGTGGGTGTGTACGTAACTACTGGCATAAACATTGATCAGACGAAATCGCATCAAGGCTCAACGGCGGTCATCGTAATTTTCGCCCGATTATCTGTAAATACGTTTTATTATACGCAGAAGAAGAAAATGTTCGTGCGACGCGGACCGAGACATTTTGAAGATATCACCGTTACGGCGGCCAACGAACATTTTTGTTTTCCGCCGAGAAAAGAAAAAACAAACAAACCGCGCGACGGACTTGTAAACGTTATCGTTGGTTATTTTGTCATTTTACGCGAACTGTGTACCCGGAGTGATTTGTCCGAAACAATTTTATCGCCGCGCGGCGAACGAGGAATTCGCGTAAACCGTAAATTCATCGGTTTTATCGCGTCGTATTTATAGGCGTGTATAAAACCTAATAATATTGCGTTATCCGTAAACCGATTAACTCCGGGGTTTTTTTTTTTTTTTTCATACATAATAGGCATTCGTTATGTTTTTTTTTCGTAATATTCAATCGGCGAGCATGCCTCGCGCGCCGGTATCGCTACGGTGCACTGCGAATGAGAAAACCGTTTCAAACGCACACGTGTGCATGCACGCGCCAATTAAAAGGCGGCTGCTAACACGCGCCATAAAAATCGAATTCCAAAGTGCGATTTTTTTTTTTTTTTGATTTTTCTATTCTTCACGACATGCCTGCAAAGACAATCACCACACAAACACCGTTATTTTTTCACACGTCGTTACGTGCTATAACACTACCACCTACATATATATATATGTATATAAATATATAACGAACCGTTGTTAAATAACAGTTCTCAACTGAGTGTACAACGCGGCATTTTTTCGGACATCCGTTCGCGCCACCCGGTTTCGAACGCGCAATACGCGATTGCGTTGTACGTGGACGCCCCCCCCCCACCAACACGCGACGGGTACCCGTGCCATTATTACGGGATCGCGTCAACGGCGCATGATGTAATTGTAATATTGATCCGACGACGGTTTTACGGGCTGTGCGACGAGTAGAATAGAGGAAAAAAAAAAAAAAAACCGCATAAAACTATAGAGTGTTTTTTAGTTTTTCTTTTTCCCCTAAAAACCACCGCGTTAGTTTATTTCTCGTTACGTTCGAGACTATAATAATAATAATAATCACAACGCATGTCAATAGTATTCGTGTATTGTAATATTGTGACGGTCACGCGGGTTTGTTCTCGATTGGCCACACCTGTTATTATACGTACCTACAGACAGAGGCCTGTAATACCGATACCGTGCTAACTTATTTTTTGCGACTTCCCATAGACCATTGGGCCCATCACGAACGAACGTTTCAATAACAATAATAAGCGCATTAATCGACGCAGTATTATTTGCGTAGGCAGGCCCACTACAATATGTGAGTACCGACAAATCGAATGGAAACGGAACACGGAAATATTATTTGTTATAAGTTAACGCGGACGACGCGGTCGATTTTTTTCAAGTGGTCGGTACGGTATGAAAAATGAAATTACGCTGCACTATCCGGAAACACGAGTAATGGGCGATCGGGGACGTATTTAGAGGGCGCGTTGAAAAGGGGCGTCGTAATTTTTCAAGACGTGGGAAAATAACTACTCCCTCAGCAGGACAAAATCTAGTGCGTTTTAGAGAACGCAAAATGTGTTCATACGAAAGGGCGTAAAACGTACCGGGACGTTAAAAATGTAAACAAGAAAATTTGCCGCGGCGATGTTACACGCGCAACGTATGAACACGGCGAATGAAATAACAATAATAATGTTGCTGTCGTGTCGTAAACATCGGATACCTAGTCGCATCGTTAATAATTTAGTGGGCCTTTACAGTGATAATAAATTATGTTATTATGTGTATCGATGATAAAAATATAAAAAAAAAAAAAAAAAATGAAAAAACCTCTGTAAGGTTGATGACAGCAGCATCTGTTTTCGCTGCTGCCATCGAACAGTCAGTCTGCCGGAATGCGGTGTGGGCTTCCATAATATTATAATACTCAGCCGCCGCCGCAGCCGTGTGCGGATAGTCGGCACCGCGCCAACCGCGTTTAATTATACGTTTAACCAGTCAGTGGTCGTTAAAAATGACGGAATGAAGATCGAAAACCCGACGGCTCTTTCGTCGCCTAGGATCTGGGATACGAGCGGACGGGAGGAGAACCGAAATAGCACGGCGTTCCGGGTCCACGAAGGGGCGGTCCTCCGCACGTCAAAGACCGGGGGGACATCTGTTGGACGGTACCGGCCGCGGTGCGGACTACAACGGAGACGGCGGCGAAAGGTTGAGAACCCGCGGTTCCACGTTGACGGGGGGGGACTGGCCAACGACGGCGGCGGCGGCGGTGACGCGCAGTCAGCTGTGGTGCTACGCTACAAATAGAGACAGCCGACCCATCGTCTACCGCGGCCGCCGACACCGCGACTTACCCGTCTCAGTTGTGGTTTGAGCACGTTGTGCAGTTCGTTTCGGATGATGCTGAACTTCATGCCGGTTTCCGTGCTGAACACGGAACTGGACAGCGCCAGTCCGGGATAGTCGGGACAACGTCGTCGTCGTTGCCGTCGTTTTTCCCGTTCGGCGACCACCTCGGCACTCTCGCTGGTACACCGTAGTTTGGCCAACAGTTCGGTCTCGTCCGTCACGCCATTTCCTTCTCCTGCTGCATCCGCCGTTGCTTCTACACAGTCTTCCGTGGCTTCCCGGGTGCATTTCTCCGGCGCTGGCTGAACTGGTCTCCTCTCCGACTGCACCGGTGGCGGCGGCAACCGCGATGTCTTGTCCTGCGACTGCGATGGTGGCTGCAACCGCGATGTCTTGTCCTGCGAATGCAATGATGGCGGCTGAAACCGCGGTGTCTTGTCCGGCGACTGCGATGGTGGCTGTAACCGCGGCGTTTTGTCCGGTGACTGCAATTGCGGCTGCAACCTCGGTGTTTTGTCCTGCGACTGGGATGGTGGCGGCGAAAACCGTGGCGTTCTGTCCTGTTGAAATTGCGCTGCAGGTGGCGGTAACCGCGGAATCCTTTCCGGGTGCTGCGTTGGCGATGGTGGAGGCGGCAATCGAGGCGTCCTTTCCTTTGGTAGTGGTAGTAGTGGGAGTGGTGATGGTCCGCTACAGGAGCTGGCAAGAGAAGCTACAGGTGTCGACGTTGTCGCCGGTTCAGTGCTGACGTTTCGTTGTTGATTACGTTGTTGCTCGTCGGACAACTGCGGCCGTCTCAGGGCCCTTGAGGCCCTGGGGGGGCGCCGGTCACCCGGCCGCCTGTCTCGTCCTCCGCGGATGTCCATCCGACGTATTGTCGACCGTCGTCCACGAAACGCGCCGTAAAGGCGGCCACGGAACCGGCGGCGACGGCCTAGACGGAGGCGGAGGTGACGACGGTGGCTGGCGGCAACAGCAGCAGCGGCAGCAGCGCTCTCACACGGCCAACGACACGTCGTATACAACAGCTACAACAGTGAACATCGTACAACGCAACCCGCAGGAAATGCACGCGCACGACGCCGCTACGGTTCCGTGTTGTTTTGTTGGCTGGTATTCAAAAATATAAACGTACAAGACGACTGGCGTGCGGTACGACCGCCTGCCCGTGCGTGTTGATCTCCGTCTTTCCCTCTCTCCTGACTGTTAATGCCGCCGTAGACAACGCACGGCTGACTTCTCGTGCGGCGTTAATTGATAAAAACGACAGTCGGCGGCCACCGCGACGGTGGCGTTGTAACTTTTTTTCGTCGGCCGCGTCGATCGTAATAATATTCAAATAATAAACTACAATAATTGATCAGACGTGATAATATTATCAAACGACAATAACGGATTGAGGACGGCACCGTCGGTCTTAAAATATTCCGTGTGCACCACACGGACGAATAGGTATAATAAGTATAAAGACGTTTGAATATCGTATTAGTTGATGTACTACAACGGACGTATTAACTATTGTTGGCGGCCGCTACTTGTGCACTATACGCATTATGACCGCGGTATCGATGATATGGGTACCTATTACAAAATTAAAAAAAAAAAAAACTGTAACCCGATAACGGCGCGCGCGTACGAGCAAATGAGACCGACGTTTAATTATAATTTAGTTGGCAGGCATTTTGACGAGTCATCTGGCGGCCAAAGTTAACGCTACGACGACCGTCGATTGCCGATGTAAAATTATAATAATATGATTATCGACTGATGATAATATAATACCTAGTGTCCAACCAATAGTTTTGTTATGTACGACAGCATAGCGCTGTACTATAGTTGCGAAATATTATCGGAGTCATGACGTGGGTATAGGATCCGGGGATCGCGTTACATTTGACATATTATTATAATTCCGTTTTTTGACTACGGTTTTTAACGTTCTCGTCGTTTATTATCGTAACAATACGCGAATAAAGAAAAAAAAATGGCGGATCCATTTCGCACCGTGCGTAGGCTACTGTTGTTGGTGGGAAATTAGATAAGATACGGTATACAAGCAGAGTGTAACAGGAATACTTGACATTTTTACTTGTCACTACAATGTGCCCTGTAGAGTAATTCAGTGTGTATACTGAAAGCAACGGTAAATCACTGCAATTAGAAAACAATCCAGGGCGAAGCTCGGTAAACTGTTGAATTATAATACGTATTAGTGGCATTTCACCACGAAACCAGGGTAACTCGCAAATCAACTGAAATATAACTGAAATACCGTAATTTGCTTTCAGATTTTATTTTATTTTTTAGGCACATTTTTTCAAATAGAGTAGGTACCGTCGGACGAAAATCCACATCTTTTATGGTACGAGTCGTACACGACATGAAGAAATTGGTTTAGGTATTTTTACTAACCGTAAAAGTGTTTTCCGCGAAAAAAAAAACTCATACTTCTTAGTAAAACGTATAACGAATTGTTTCTTCGCAAAATCTAGTGGTGAACACAGGTGGTTTTGAGGTTTCGAACTCCCTCCGAAAAAAATGAATAACTTGAATTTGTATTTAAATTTTAAAAAAAGTGATAAATTGATTTATAACAATACAAAGGGCAAATGGCATGGATATTTTAGCAATTTCCTTCCACACCGGCAATTGTTTCCTGCAATCACCACTGACAGAATCCAAAAAAATGTACCAATATTTTTGATTATTATTGATTAAATGAATACCTATGCTTGGGCTATTGCTTTGCAGTTACACTACACGAATGACGAGTCTGAAGATATATATTATACAGGTCGAATACGACTTTTTTCAATTTAATTTAATGCGCGGCTAGTCCATATACCTACAAAAAAAACACCGTTCTGCGTGCGTACTGGTTGGGTAATTTTTTACGTAGGTCGTGTAAATGACATTTCGTCATTATAATCAATTCTTGTTTATAAAAACAATATTATTTTGGGCTTACAATAAAATTTAAATACCACAAATCAAACTACAATTTCTTCATAATACAATGTATTCCAGAGTACAAATTTGACACACACACTATTGATATTATTATTATTTCGCCGGATAATTTAATCCGGTATAATATCATAGTGGATTATTTAGAAAAAACCACGAAAAATATCCTGATAATAAATGAGCGAATCGATAATTATTATTAATTGTTTTTTTTCGGTAAAAACAAAACATTCAGAATTATCGATCAGATGATTGCAAATTAATTCCCGAGATAATGTATCTATGGCATATGGTTTTTAAAATTTTAACTGCGAAAACCACAATAACAAGTTATATACTCGTGTATTTTACACTACTGGTATAAACGGTGGTGTCAATTACATTATTATATAATTTTCTATTATAAAGAGCATAACAGGTGCTAGAATAGTTTACGACGACGGTCGATGGTGTTGAATTAAGAGGAGGGGGGGATTTAGCGCCGGGCCGCAAGGCGTAACACCATTATACACTTTTCACCTTTTTTCCTACAAAGAGCACAACACGATCGGGCGCTTATCACCTTTTGAGAAAGATGCCAGCAAAAGTATCTGCGCATTTTTACCTTTTTATATTTAAAAAATATAAATAAAGAAACATAAATATTTGTCTACAATATATTTATACACCCATGATAAATAATAATACCCTAATACGTAGAAGTAAACGTATTGATGCAGCTGCGTGGGGCAAAAACTAATATTTTGAGGGCCTTTAAAACCGTATCATTGGTGGGGTATTCAAAACTTAAAGAGGTAGAGTAGAAACCTCGAAATCCTTAAGAGAAATACCCGCTAAATAGTATGACCAAGGTTATAAGAATGAAAAATGGGTTCTCGGCGTCTGGTAAAAGTCATGACGCCACATTTGTTAGAATTGAGCGTTAATCCCGAATGAAGATTGAAGAACCCAAGCATGAAAAATATCTAACTCGTTTTGAAGGTTAGAAATGCTGTCGGGAAAAATCTATTTTCAGAAAAAATGTAATTTAATTATAGTCAATAGTAGGAGCCGTGTCTTGGTTACCCATTTGGCAATAGAGTTAATAAATAAACAGCAAAGAAAAGAACTTAAATGTTCACCTTGAGAAACGCCGGAGAATACACCAGACAGAATGGATACTGCCCCTGGGATTTTAACAAATTGCTATTGGAACATTTAATACAATTTTCAGAAATTAGTCGGTAACAAATGATTTGTTTGTTTTTTTTTTTTTTTCTAAAACAACAAGTCTCTTGTATTGATGTATAATATTATATTTATATAATTATATAATGACTGTCGTCAATATTAAAATATGTACACACCGAATAAAAATTGATAAACCTGAATTAAAAAAAAAAAAATTGTTTGTGTAAAATAGCCTCGCAAAAAGTATATTATACCTTCTCCTCTAACTATGATCGTAATCCGGCTCTGTATGGTGATTTTGAAGATATTAAGTAAAAAATTATAGTATTTCAAAGTACCTTATACAGTTTTACTGTTTTTAGGTACGTTTCATTTCGGACAATATTGCCTTGAGGCTTGAGAGTGAGATACCTACACATTTATTACAAAAAATCTAACATATTAAAAATATGATAATTTTACAAAATAAATTTACGCATATAGATCATATGAAATATCAATATGAAATTATACATAAAAGTTATGGTAACAATTATGAGATTATGGTATAAATTAAAAGAGCTTATAGTTATAATGATATTGATATAATCAGTATAATTAATTACTACTCTTATTTATATAAATATATTAAATACCTACCTAATAATAAAATAACAAACATAATTTTTTACGTCTTAATTTTGTACTTAATACAACTGATACAACTTGATACAACTGTGTTAGTTTTAGATTCCGAGCGTAGTGAGGGAACTATTGGTTATACTAAGATGTTTATTTTTTTTTATAGTCTGTGGACATGTTTTTTCCTAGTAAATTTGTTCCGATTTTTACGTGTAGCACTTTTTCTGAAAGCTCAAGTTGTCTTAATTGTACTTAGAAAAAGTCATTTTTTTTTGATTTTTGACGCCATTTGTTTTAATAAAAGCACTTAAGTGGGAAAAACCGTAGGAAAACGTACAATTTCACGATTTTATTATTTTATAAAAACACGGACGACGTTTGAAAAAATGGAAAAATGATTTAATCAAAAAATTACAAAACACATGTTTTTTAGCTTTTTGATTTACTTTCTTACGGTATCATTGCCAAAACTTTTGAATCAAACTTTTTGCTGTAATTCGGTTAAAAATAGACGTAGAAACTTGAAACTTGGTAATAATACTTATATTGGACTTACCTAGACGTGTTAAAATTTCAAAATCATCAGACGACGATTTTTTTTTTTTTTATAATAAGTGTTTTGAAATCAAATTTAAACGAAAATCGCAAAAAATTACGGCACTTCAAATTATGTATCACCGAACTGCGCTCGGAATCGTTTTTCATCAAGCAATAGTTTATCGTTGATAACAGATATAAATGAAATAAACTTATGTGTCCTACCTTTCCAACTTCTCATCTACAACAGTGATCGCTCCCATCCCCAATATCGGCTCTTTTGATGTTTTAAGCTGTAACACTGTATTTTTGGTTGATTTTAAGAAAATAAAGCAACGTAATGTTCTCGAAATTATTCTCCTCTTTAAATGTTTTTATTTGTGTTTAAACTATAAATTAAACTTAAATGCCATATGCCATTTTTATTATTCTAAATAACGTAATTTTTATATTTTGCCGATAGTTGGACTGAAACACTAAAGTGAGTATACAACCATCCTCTGCAATAAAGTTCCTACTACCTACATTATTTAATCGAAACTATTTAATATGCATGGAATAGGTACATACTAATATACTTTATGTATGATATTGAAATGTATTGGTGCTATAGAAATTATTACAATTTGTCAACATATTATTCTTATGAATATGTAGGTAGTTTATTATATAAGTATTTTTTCGAAAGTTACAATAATCAATACAACAATTTTAATATTAAAACCCTTTAAAATATATTATAATATATTATCATATTTATTAGTCAATAATTACATTCTTTGTAAGAAACGTATTTTAATATTAGTCGTAGGAAAATTTTCACTAAATTATTTTTAGAAGTTATCAAAGTCATATTCAGGAATTTTTTTTGAGGGGGGGGAGAGAGAGCGATATCACTTAAATAAGACATATTGTATTGTATTATAGATTATAGTATATTAAACTATATTTAAAATAATAATTTACAATTTCCTGAAATTTCAGTTGGCTGCAGTCCCCTCAGCCCTCCCTGAAAATGCCATTGCAAGTGACCATATTATTAAGCGTCGGTCCACCACTGAGCCATTACCCCACCAGCTACTTTATCCATTACTACTAATTATTATTTAATGAGTAAATAATGAAAGTGCATGTTTATTAGTAACACATCATCGAATAATCAATACATTCTTGAAACTTATAATCTAAAATAAACATTCAAATATGTATATCAACGAAAATATGTCAAATATTGTCATCATGCTTAGTCATCGTTAAATTTAAAAAATAATTATAATCTACAAAAATAATGAATCAAGGAAAAGGACTATTTTTTTTGTGATCAGTATAATATCGTGTAATATTAAGATACGTATTTTATAGACTTTTACAATATATTACATTACAGTACTTTGATAAATAAACGTAGGCAAATTTCCTTGTTAATTAACCATCAAAAAAATTGTTACCGTATTAATAATTAACAGTAGATAACTAATAAACGTTAATATATAATCAGTATAATAATAAGTAATAGTATATTAATAAAAAAATGTTTAAAATCTATGACAAAAATAAAACCTAACCTATATTTTAAAAATAAACTTTAAATTTAAAGTAGTGATACAGACATTTTAAATTTATTTAGTAAATAAATTCTTTTGAACAATATAAATAAGTGGTTAAATTAGAAGGGGGCAGAGAGGGACGGGTTATCGTCTTCTTCTTCGATATCAAATTATATTTCCTTTAATTAAAGGTTTGAAATTCGGGTGGACGCTTTAGTTATTTTTACTAAGGCATTTCTAATAAAATTTTAAAAACTTGAATCAGTTTTTTTAAAAATAAATTCTTCAATACATATTAGATAATAACTAAGGTTAGGTTAGACTGTTGAACTGTATTTTTACTGAAAATACATATGCGTAGGATAATATTTGAGGGAGTAGTAACGTATGCAGGGGGCACAGTATGCCACATCCCTGAAAGAGGGAAATTGAAGGAAAAACATCTTGTCGATAGGGTAAATAAAATTATGTTTATGTAATCATTTTATTTTTAAATTTATATATTTTATCATAATAATAATGAAAACGGTTTTTACAGTGCTATTAGTTTACTTTTTAGATCAGTTTCTGACATGAAAAGTTTACACGCTATCAGTCCTGGTATTTTGTGACTGATGATCACGACTAGCATGTGGATTGTTAACGTATAAAGCAGACTTTACCTATTCTTGGCTACTTTTACTTTCTTTACTAATATTAATGTATTTCTTAAGTAAAACTTTGTTTTCAAAGCACGTCTTGACCCTCCTAATTTTTTAAAATTTCTTATTGGGGAGGGGCAGTTTATTTTTAAAACCTATTAGTATAACATTTTTATCAATAAATTTGTATTAGAAAAGAACGTTTTGGAAGTCTTTACGAGTTTCCTGAAAGGTTGGTTAAATTTAGTTAGTAATCGGGAACGCCCCTCAATGATCGATAAATATAACGCCTCATTTGAAGTTTTTCCCCCTTTAACCACTGATATAAGTGTAAAAAAAAAGTTTATTCCAAAATTATGAACTTAATAAAGACAAACATTAAACTCGAATAGATTTATAATTAAATTACTATAATATTAAATAATATAATTAGTATTATTATTTATTATAATTAAATCAGGATAAGTGGTGTACTCTATAATTTTGACTTTTTAACATCGAACACAATATTTATGAATTATGAGATTCAAAAACGACTGTTATTACATACACATAGTGGTGCTGTTCTGAACACAAATATTGTGTATCTTAATTGTACGATTATTTATTTTAGTAATTTATCCAATTTTCGGAAATTAGAGAATTTGATAAAAATAAAAAAATAGTTTTTTTACAAAGTAAACCATTATTTATTTAAAAATAATTGGATACCTGTTTATATAAAATTATTAAATAAAATATTTTTTTAGAAGGCCTATTGTTTACATAAATCTATCTTAACTTAAAATAATTTTAACAAACAAAATCACGGGTCTCATATGAGACATACATTAGATAAATTTATTTCTAGGATTTTAGAATTTCATCAGAACTATAAAAATTAAAATTATGGGTAAAATATATGCAAATAATTAGATGGATTGCAAATCAAAAGTGTGTATTAGTATCAATTTACTTTAATTGTTATTATTTGATATTTATAATTCTCTCCCCGGTTTGGTGGAAGTAATTTGAAAAAAAGATAAAAAAAGATACTTATAATGAATAATTATTCTGTATAACTACAACGAATTGGAATATTGGATTGATACCAATTTGCTATTTTTGAAAATAAAAACTACAATACCAATATAATTACTTATTTGTTTTTTGGGTATACTTTCGCATTATACGTTATAATTATGTTTATTATCCACAAATGGGGAAAGAACAAAAAAACATAAAATTAATGACTAATTAGTCGTTCGACAGTTTATTTGTCAAACAAGTAAAATGTGTTGTATTCTTGTAAACGTTCAGGCGCTAAACAATTATACTATATAATATTATTATATTATTTGACTTCGGTTTTTTTTTTCAAAGACGATGAGTATCAAAAAGAACAAATTATTGTTTGATTGATAGTTGTTTTTAACATTAACATTATACATTAAAAATGCATGTGGAATGAAAACTTTTTATGTTATATCTAATTGATTATTAAAAAGAAAAAAGTGTACGTGTTTCGACATTTATCATTAATGAATAACTATAATATTACATAATATGCATAATACATACTACAATATAGGCATGTAACATATCATTACATAAATATACGAGAATCAATCCTTTTTTGGAAAAACTAGTTATGCCAATAATAAATTAGTCAATAATTTATTAGTGAATAAAACATTACTGACGTGTAATACTTATGAAAAAAGAGCAAATCACTTTTTCTCTTATTTTATTTATTAACTTTTAACTTAAATAGTACCCATATTCTGTAATATATTATAGATTATTTTGCGTTTTATATTATTTTAACCACTCAATTACATTCGTGTCTACAGAAAACCCCTATCAATACAGGCGCCTTTTTATTTCCAACAATTTTTATTAAATAACGTCATAATAATTAAATATAATTTACAGTTTAGATTGCGATCAAGGACGGGAAAATATTTATTATGTATAATAGGCACCAACCAGATAATAAGATTTTTGTTTGATCGCCATTTGGTCAAAGTCCGGAAGAAAATATAGTGGGTATAATTATTACAATAATTCTTATTAGGTTTATTTTAACGTAATTTTGAAAGTATAATATGTTCCAAGAAATCCATTTATTTGAAAATATTTTAATATTCTATCAATAAACACTTAGGTACATATTATAATACCTACATGTATTACATTTTGTATATGTGTATTGCATTTGTAATACATAACATTTATATTAAACAGTTTGTAATTATTTGTTTAGGTAGATATTAGATGTATTGAACAGTATATACCAAGTATAAAGAACATGATTAATAACTTGTGTTTTTTTTTCAATTAACTCATTAATTCTAATAAAATAACATAAAAACAAGGTCCGCTATATATATTTAACTATTAGATATTATGTTAAACAAATCATATCATATATACTGATATAGGTTTTATTATTGTGTGTTGGCTAATATATATAATAGAAATAGATAATTTATGCGATTATAAGGTATTTTAAAAATTAACTAACAAATTGAAAGGATACCATCATTTAAACATTTTAAAACAGGTCCATAGTAAAATCCTAAGCCATTCATAATTTCTGTAAAGGAAACTACACTTCTAATACTCACAATAAATAATGTTACTTATAATTTATAGCCAATCCGTTTACTTACATAATAAATTATGATAATAACAAATTTAAATAAAATACGTGAATCTATTTTCTAAATATGGATTTAATTATATTAATTAATTTAGGTAGGTAATTATTTTTGTCCAGAGTATTTAATATGTATCATATTGAATTTAGTCCACTACACACCGTATATACATTAATAACAGTATTAAATATTATAATTTAAATGTTTGTCTGTGTGAGTGTAAAAAAGTTGAAAATGGCCCTTTTCAAAGTTTTAAAAGTGATTCCGAAATTTTTGGTACGGAATATTTTAAAACTTTTTATCTATTAATTCAAAAGTAGATTAGAAAATATAATATTATAATAAATAAATACTGGACAGTATTATTTAGAAATACAAATCGAATATATTATAATGGTATTCTAATTGAAACAAAAAAAAAAAAATGTTAATCACCTAATATTTAGGCACCTATAATAATATCAGCTACAATGTCGTTAAAAATGTATTTTCGTCATAAAAATTTAACGTATACACATTAATGGTAAATTTTCACTTAGTTATTTAATTATTTTTTTTATGTTTTTTTTCTGTTATACTCAACAATATTCGCTACGATAATACGGAGTATTGGGTTACATATAGTGTGAGCCCAGAGACATGTACATGTTATAAGTTATACACGCGAAACGCTCGCCGGTCCGTATTTGGCACAACGCTGTGCCAGTGTAACATAAATCCCTGTTCTATTCTTGAACCGCGCGGAGTGTCTCTAATTTTAGAATACCCCGAACCAACACTTTAATCTTTGCACACTGCGTTAACGACTTTGGTTTTTTTAAGAGCTGTAAATGTTTCGAACTATTCGTTACTTGTATAAACGGTTTTCGGAATACAATTAAATAATACAATCAATAATATCGGTCCTTTCATTGAAAATCTATTATTATAATCTACATTGTTAGGCATACTATTATAAAATACTATCAACGATCGTTCAGAATTAATCATAAACATACATGACACGTTAATATACAACGTGTTTTGTTTTCGAATTTGTATAATGTAAAAAAATACTTTGGCAGTTTTCCAAGAATTTTATTCATATACCGATCTCCGAAGAGTAAATTAAAAATACAGTAAGCACAATTATTAAGCCAAAAATAGGATTCGTTTTTGGTAGCCGGTACCAGCTATGTAGTTAATACCTACTATCTGAGTTTCACGCGCAAAGCTAAAATATTATTTAGTTATTACTAACAGGAAATATTTATGACGTGTTCATAATAAACGTGACTAATAAGGTGGTACACGATATTTGTATGATACACAATGTTGATTGTTGAGTAATGTTTCTGCAAACTAAAATCAAATTAATAATAAAAATAATGGCAGTGCGTGGACTAAAGCAGAATTGTAATTCTTTTATCAGAGAACCTGGCTAAAAACGTGACAATATTTCAAAATTTTAGTTTGCGTAAATATTACCAGAGCATAGGTAACATTCAATTCTCCAGATAGTAATATATACGTTAAAGCAATTGGAGTGATAAATAAAACAGTTTTTTTCAATTTAGATTCCGATACAATTTACAAGTTCAATAAATGTAATAAGTAGATAGGCACTTCAAAATGTAGTGTTTTTGTAAAATATATACAATATGGGTTCATTAAATTTCAATAATAGTAAGTATAATAGGTATAATAGGCTTATAAGAAATTGAGTTTTGTTCAATATTATAATGTAGGTATAGTGTCGATAGGGGAACCAAATGGAAAAAAAAAATACTTTAATGGTTAGTCTGCACCACATAGATGACGGTATTCGATAAAACGCATTCCGACAGGCTATTTACAAATTTAGTAGGTATGTGACAATAGACCCCAGAACCAGAATGTCGTTTAGTTGTTCTTGGTGGTTATACAGAGTGTACAAAATATTTACGCACCTTTACAATAATATAGGTAATATTTGTTGCGAGACAAATAATTTTTCTGACTGTTAAATAATATTTGTATTCGTACTTAACATAGGTGGGTACCTACTAACTTTTAAACAGTATATTTTTTTCAAACCTAAGGTATAATAAGTTGACGAATAACTAGATACCTATATATATTATATTGTATCATAATGTTAAAATATAACGTATACAATTCGCGTACGTTTAAGTCATAATATTATTATTATCATCAGGACAAATCAAAGTCATTCATTTTAGTCAGCATATTTTAAAGACGCATTATAATAACTAGCTACACTTTAACATGGGCTGAAATCTCATTAATACATCATCCATAGAATCTCGTATAATACCTATCTACATTAATTTCGCTTTTGTAAAACATGTTTAGGTCTTTTAATTGTATGTGTGATAGTTAGATTAAATATTTATTGAAATTAGTGTGAGCTAATAAATAACAGTTGTTTGACATAAATATATAACGCAGTGATAAGAGTTAAATAGAATTAAATTCTGTATGCGTTTAAAAAGTTTCGTGATGAATTAAACATCTACGGTAGGTACTTATTAATAAAATATCTATTATATTATTAGAAATCAAAATTGTGTATAACTGCCTACCTCCCACTTACAAACGATAATGTTTTATAATTTATTTATTTTTCATAATTATGGAGGTATTGATTAAATATAAAACTTAAAAATGTGTAACCTTGATAACTAAGTCATACGGGGATAATAAAAATACACTTACGTTTTGCAGAGCCTTGTCCTTCTCTTCGAGTTTAGCGCTAACTTGCATAAGCTGTTCCTGAGTTTGATCAAGATCGTTTTCGATTGTTTGAATCTTTTTTTGTAAGGCTCTAGCCTCTTCTTCAGCCTTTTCAGCCCTTAAATTGGCGTCTCGTGCTTGTTGTTCGCACAACAGAGCTCTGTCCATGGCATTGTCCTTCTCCAGCTTCATCGCCTGCATTTTCTTCTTGATGGCGTCCATTTTGGATGATTTTTGGCGACTAAAATAAAAAAAAAACTCAATTAGAAATTTAAATCCGTACATAACACTGATTATATTTTAAATGTTTAAAATATTATCAATATATTATATTTGTTTATAAATATAAGTATAGTACATGAATAGATTATGTTAAATTTCAATTAAATACAATTATTATTTTTTGATTTTTAAAAATACATTCAAAATTATAAAATCTGGTTAATATTAATTTCTACCGATAATAATATAATATGAGTAAAATTGAGTTTTTCAAAAGAATTGACGATTTCACAAAAACGTATTTATAAAAATAAAAATTCTTACCAAGTCACAAAATATAATAATAATTACACAAAAATGATATTAACTTAACACCCGTATGCACACGCGTTAGCACTAAACTTGTGTCGACTAGCAACCAGACCTGTAGTCGCGGACCCCCAGTAGAGTTGTGTAACTCAGTGGGGGAATAATGAAGACGATCAGCTTTCTTTTGGCCTCAACGGTGGTAGGGAGAGGGACAGGCTACTGTCTATTTTTGGGATGTCCTAAAACCTCACTCGGAGATAAATTATTCATTACTCCAGACCTGGATGACATAATATTATATACCATATGATGACACAGTTAGAAAACTGTATTTATTGAAAATCGTATAAAATAATAAATTATAAACGTGAATATTGAGTAAAATATATTAATATGAAATTAGTACTTAATAAATTAATATGTCCTTACGAGTAAAATATACTTAGTGTTATAATAATAATATTGGTTTAATGTTTAATACTTCGGCCTGATGTTTATCCAGTGAACTAGTGAAATGTAAAAAATTGAAAATTAGAGACGTATTGTTGTATCAATATAGGAATTTGTGGTCGAGGAAAAACAAAGAGCGAAACGGCGATTTATGTTCGGTTAAGATTTTCCCACTACCGTATATCATTATTACACGCAGCGTTATAGAAGCGTTTCGAAACCACATTTACGTGATTAAAATAGTGTAGTTTTCATCCAAAATAAAATAGCTACCTACTTGAGTTCAATTGAGTTTATTTCACGATTAAACGAAAATAGGTATCAATCGAAACAATAAATTGTAATAGATAAATCGTACGTACGAGTATAACAATGTTTTATTTTCGTTGCTTATATAGTTACATACCTACCTATTGCTGTGAATATTAGAAATCAATTAATATTTTAATTATAGAAGTAATATATACATATAGTAATATTTACATTTTTATTAAAGACATTTTGATTTTAGAATGGTTGAATTTCTAAACTCTTAGATAACCTACCCCACTCCCACTGACCAATATTAGACATATAATATATTGTAAAAAGTATGCGTGCGTTATTGTAATAAATCATTCCATGTATAGTCATAGAAGTATAGGACACCTGCTTGTTATATAAAATAAAATCATCTAAAATATGTTATCACTTTAAATTTGAAAGGCATGAATAGTATGACAAATTATGAAAACAAAAACAAATGTTTTAATAATATGATAAATACTTGTCCACGCATATGGCTGTATAGGTAAGTATATTACATTTAATACATTAAATAATATATGGATACTGCTATATTATGTTATTTTTAAATCGGCATTCAAAATATATTCGTAAATACCTAGGTGAAACCAAAGAAATGCTAAAGGGAAAACAGCCCTACTCAATATATGAATTTAATTTAGTAAAATTTATACAGATTGGTAGCTATTATAATATTAATAAAACTTTCATAAAATACTAATAATTATGGTCCAGCGATGTAGGTAATAGTTACTCTTTGTTAATACCTATACCAAGAAAATGTTTTATTCGGATCTGAATACATGTATACTATATTATTTTAATCATAAGTTCTAAAATATGTATAACTAAAAAAAATTGTATTGGGCTTTGCTTGTTTAAATATATAAAATAAAAATATCGGTTTGAGTATATATTTGATGGGTATTATAATCGAGTTTGAATAAGAAAGGTTTTTTATAATATTTTTGATGGAATACCATGTGAAACAGTATCAATAATAATATATACGAGTGCCTACGACCTACTGCTATGTAAATCGGTAACCACACATTTCAAGTTATACAGAAATAATTTTGAAGTGTACCGTATACAAGTACACAACAGCTGTAATAGTTATAGTTATTAACGGTAGTTTATTATTATTTTTTAATGAATCATAACCCAAAAATAAGTTTAACGAAAAAAAACTACCAACAATTGTTTTAATTACATCTACTACACTTTTCTGGAATTTTACCGATTTCCTTAATATTTATGAATATAATTTTCAGTTATACGTTAAATGACAGCATAATGTATGGACTGCCGCCAATAATTTAATCACAAATTTAACTGCGATTCATATTTCATTTTAAAAATAACATAAAAATCAAATCTAATAATATAGCGGTTTTTTAATTTTTGTTTTTGCATTTAAACGAAATCATTTTGAAAAAGATTCCAATTTCCAGTAAGTAGAACTTACTGAAAGACAATAGTAACTATGTTTTTACAGTTAGATGTTTTTTGTATTATCATCATAAAGTTGTATTGCGTACTTAAAGAATAAAAAACAATTAAACATTTTCAAGTATGAATATAGTAATATAGTTATTTAGGAAGTAGTTTATATTGAAAATTCTTCTGTGAAAAATTAGTAAATGTTGTGGTCCTTAATATTTAGTTGGTTATTTATTTTTTTTTTTGAAGTTTATTGGAGTCTTGATTAAATAAATGCTCAATTAATACTATTTCACTCAGAATCGTTTTTCATTTACAATGATTTCTTGTTGTAACGGTATACAATTAAAAAAATTACCCAGGTTATCCTACCTTCCCACCTTCAGGAATTAGCCCCTACTCTTGGGTTTTGAACAGTATTAACTTTTTTTAATTTTCCTTAAGAATATTATTTTCCCTAAAATTAATTATAGTATGCCATGCCCTTTTTTATCCGTCCACACTTGCTTACTATCTATTGTTTCAGTCGAACTAATGGGTAACAAAGCAAAACTATGTTATTTAGAACGTTAATTGTAACATTTAGGTTGAAATTAGTGGTTGAACACAAATTACAACATTTAAAAAGGAGATTATTTTCGATGGTTGTACGTAGTTTTTTTTTAAAAAAATCAGCTTTAATAATTTCTAGACAATTTTTATTCAATATAAACGCTACGATTTACTTTCTAAGTATAATATAATTTTGCCATGTTGCCCGCTAATTATACTGAGAGTAGATTAATATCTTAATCTTTGTTCCTCCCTTTATCGTGCAGCATAGGAGCCACCAGTGGCGCCGAACTAAAGGTACAGGTTAGGCGACCGCCCGACCAAATTTTTTGGCGGTGGATGTGAGCTTGTGCCAGTGGTGAGAAATATACACAGTATGAATAGTATTTGTAGAAAATAAAACTATAAAAATAGTACTATGAATTAGTATAATTCATGTATATATTTAGATGCTGTATAATATTATAATAATTTGGTTTATTTGTCCTAGTATTTTTAAACTACTTCGGCACCACTGGTGGCCACAGTTCCGTTTATCTAATTATGTCAAAAGTCTTTCGACATGACGATACAGATAATTCCGCTCAAAATGGTTTTTGTTTACAAAAATAATTCACTCCTCATTGATGGAAAAAAAAAAATGGCACAAATAATCGTAGGATATAACTGACAGTTATTTTCATGGAAATTTCCATATAAATACCTATGTATAAACTTAAAATCAAATAAATTCTTTATGTGATATTGATAAATGATAATAATACGCCGAGTATAACACCTTGAAGGCTACCGTAAACGTGAGTCATCGTTTTGCCGGATTTGATACCATAAATGGTTACGAAACTGTACATAATAATATCGTTGGTTACAGACAACTATCACCAGCCGGCGCACATGTTTACTAAACTGAGTTTTGGATTCTCATCTAGCAACTGGAGCGACAGGTACATAATTTACAATCTTTTTGACGCACGACCTATATAGTTATTGTTTTTTTTTTCACAATAAACATAAAAATTACGACTTCCATAAGAAGGTTGTTTCATTGAGTCTTATGACTTTATGATTTTAGAAGTAAATGACTGAATACTAACTAAGAACAAACGATCAGAGGTGATTCTAGTGTACGGACAGGGTGAGCAGCTGCCCATACCAAAATTTTTGATATTAACGAGTGAAACATTTTAGTACCGTATCGTTTTGAATATTTCTTTAGCAAGAGATCTATTGGTTTTATTATTGCGTGTGTTTGTTATTTTTAATTGTGAATAACTTTTCTACTAGAAATCTTGTTCCGATGTATTAAGTGAACACCTTTTTTGAAAGGGGATTTTATCTAGTTGGTGAATTGATAAATGATCTTCATTTATCAATTTTCTAAAGGGTGTTCATAATAAATGGGAAAAACCGGAAAATACATTTTTAGAAAAACGGAGTGTTTACGATGCGCCACGGCGTTATTGAGTTCATTGTTTTTAATTTTTACAAACAATGTTTCCTTCCAAAAATATTTTCCAATAGAAAAACGACAAGGGACGTTTTTGTTGAATTTTGGATTTAGATGCTCATAAAAAAAAGTAATTTATTGATCTTCTAAGTGGTTTTTTTTAATATTGAGAAATCCGGAAAAAGAGAAACAGCGAACAAATTTACGGTGTAGAATTGTATTTTTTTAAATTTAAATTTTAAAAGTATTTCTGTTTAGTCTAACAATTTTATTCACAAATTACATATTACAAAATAATAATTACGTTAAAACTCGCAAAATTAAAACGTCTATAAGTAATTAAAAAATGGTTCAAATATTTTGAACATTTTACCACGTCTCAAAAAAACAAATATACGTTTTTTGTCAAAAATGTCAAGTTTACGAATATTTTTAACTGAATAACATTAAAAAACAAAATTTAAATGGAAGAATTATTTTTGTAAAAATTTCCCTTTCTTTCTACGTATTTATCGGTTTTGCTCAATTATTTAAATTAAATTTAAAAAAACAACTTTTTTGTTCACTAACTAGATTGAAAATCTAACAAAATAAAAATCTCTTGTTGTTTTTCTGTTGAAACGATATTACTGGTAGAAAATAAAAAGTGTACAAATTTTAAATAATAAAATCGTATTTTTCTTTCTTTTTTTTTGGTTTTTCCCAATTATTATGAAAACTACTTTCGATATCAAAAAAAGACTTTCTTTTTACAGAGGCTATATGTTAAAAAGAACATAGTCGATCTCATCTCGCGTCATGCCGTAAATATTTGCCATTTTAACTATAATTTACTTTCGGGTTTTTCTTAATTATTTTGAAAACCCCTTGGAAAATCCTTTTAAAATAATCTTTTTAATTTACCAACTAAAGATTGTTTCCTTCCGGAAAAGTTATTACATTCTTCACATCAGTGCAAGAATTTTTGGT